CATTCCAATTTCTGTGAATTTGAAAGAAGAAATGTGTGTGGTCATAAATCCTTTCAAGTGTAGCATTTCTCAGTTCATTATGTTTCCAATAGAACAGTTTTTTTTTTAAGAAATGTCAATAGAACAGTTAGCAACATAAATAAACATTAATCTTCTGGAGAGAAAAGGAGAGTACCAAACCTTAAAAATATAAATGAATCCTTTATTGTTCGAAAAATCCCTTGCTTCTTTCAGATTTACAGCCTATATAAAAGGCATTCTAATCAGGTACTGAAGTGCAATCATTTACTATATTTAATGCTAATCTAATTTGCAAGAGTACCTGCCATTTTTCATTTGTAGTGTACAGTACAAGATCACGAAATGTGATAGCCGCTAGCGGTGGTGACCTGAAAAGGAAAGATGGAATGAATGTTCCTGTTTGCAGAAAAACATTGCAGGGAAAAGCTACATCATGAAACAGATATTAATAAGAGAAATGAACAAGAACTGAGATATGGAGCTAAGCCATAAGAAAAAGGGCCAAAAATCATTCAAACAAAGATGAATACCAAGTTGCGCCTCCTTGATGACGTGGACCACCATGTGTTTCTAATAGAAGGTTCACAATACCGACTTGGACTGTCATTCCATCTGCAATCTAACCACGGTATAGCAAATTAAGCCCTATCCATAGTTCAATTTTCTGCACGTATTTTTTTTCAAAATTGTATATATTGTAATAAAAGAGCAGAGAATTGCTTTTCAGAATATCAGACAAGATCACATAAGAATATAGAAGAATTATCAAATCAGATAGCAAAATAGGTGCATTGGATGCAACCATCATGGATAACTGGAAGTGACAATTTTTATTTTTAGACAGCATATTGAATTTTTTACAGAGTAAAAGTTTGGAATGTGTTTACGTTGAACATCAAGGTCAAAGAAATAAACCTTATCAGCATATCCATATCCGCTGTTTTTAGCTGGTGATGGCGATAAAGCACTGCAAACCAAAACAAAATGACAGAGAAGACTGAAATCAGTAAATGACTGTGCTCATTCAACCATATGAGACCAGAGCCAGAAGAATGAATTTGCCTGCTAGTGCTTGAAAGATCTTCAGAATTGTCCTTCTCAACAAGAACGAGGTCAAGCTTATCAATGTTCACCACAATTGGTTCTACTTGCACATTTGACACTGATGGAAGCTGTAGCAAGGAAACGAAATAAGCTTATCACCAAAAGTTGCAAGTACCCAATGGCTATTCAATAATTGCCTGAAGCTTTGAGGTCAATGCTAATGGAGTATAGATTTTAATTTTCCAAATTTACCTGAGATCACCACCCAACCAAAACTTGCAATAACCAGATGCGCAAGGAATACCAAGGGCAGCTTTATTTCTCTAGATTTTTCACAGGTATGGCCACATGATAAAAATTAATGGGAGTCCAAATTTCATGGCATTGTCAAGACAGGTACAAATAGCTGCTTCCTAATCATCATTCACTTAGCCTCCCACACAAACGTTTCAAACCCAGAGCTATAATCTATCACATGAGAGCGAAATCACAAGTTCATCACAGATTTCTACCACGCAGAGGCGCAAGTAAAGTGCAAAACAATGCTCTCCCGAAAATCATCTAAATTTGGAAACCAAACAATAAGAAATCTAACACTAAATGCACCCCTTAAGCCTTCAGGGGGAGAAGCCGGGAAGAGTAAGCACACTGACATATACAAAGGCACCGGGTCAGGGCTCCCGCCATTACCGTGATCTGGAGCTTCCCGACTCGCGCGGTCTCGACGGCGAGCGACGGAGGCAGCACCAGGCTCGCGTGCAACGCGTCGCCATTGATATCTGCATCACCCAAATCACGCCCAAAAAAAAAGTTAGCACCCGGAGGCGACCAAATTGGCATCCTCAACCGGAGAAGCGGATCCCAACCGAGATTGGAGAGCTGCGCGGTGCGGCCCTGCAGCTTGAACTGGTCGCGGGAGAAGGACTTGAGCCAGTACTTGAGCGTGTACTCCAGCGCCCGCGCTATGATCGACTCCATCCCCGCCTTCCCCCCGCCCGCGCTTCTACAACGCCCCTCCCCTGAATGCTCCGGTGGCTCTTCGTGCCGCGCGCGCGGTGGCGGAGGGAGGGGACGCCCCTTCTCGGTGTCGGTGGCGGCGCCGCCGCCGGATCGGAGGTGAGATTCCGGCGAGATGGAGAGGTGGAATGGAAGAGAAGGTGAAAGAAAATGTGGGGCCCTCTTTTAGGTCTGAGACTTCCTTTCGCCTTAAGCCTTTTTTATCTTTTTTTTTTCTTTTGTTTTGTTTTTTGCAAAGCTGTAGTAATTTGACAGGTTCAGATTCGCATTGTTTTGTAAATGATGCTCGTGAGATCAATACCCGTGTTTAACTTTTATTGGTTTTAATAATTTGAAGTACAGTGGACGTGTAAGGCAGTAAAACATGTTAAAATCTGGACATGTTAAGACATGACCATTTAACTTTAATTAGTTTTAATTTGAAGTATAGTGAGCGTGTAAGTTGCTTTAAAAATCATATTAACTTATTTTTAAAATAACATGATTAATTAAGTATTTGTTATTGTTTTGAAATATGAATTAATGTAAGCAACTTACGTATAGAAACTTTTTTTAAAAAAATACATCGTTTAGTAATTTGAAAATCGTGCACGTGAAAAATGAGTTGGTAACTCTCTCGAAAGAACACAGCATTGTTCTCTCCTCTATTGTCTTAAGCTTTGTGTTTTCCTCTCCTGTTTTAATTCTCTCCAACTTTAGTCAAGCGATTGGCCATGATTTTTCCTCGTTTGCTGTTGTAACATCAGTAGACCGAACCGACGCTTGCACACCTTACTGCTCATCACAGTTTGGTTGTACCATAATCCCTTTTCCACATGGTAATCCTTTTCTAAATATTATAATTAACTCAGTACTGCCCTACAAAAAAGTGATCACCAAACCATGTTACTACGCTCCAAACTCTCACTGGCGAGTGTGCACAAAAGTTAACCGAAACCTTCAATAAAAAGCAAATTAATTTTGAAGCAATTACAACACATCACACTCTACATTATTCGCATACTGTCAAATCGCTGGCTATAACTAGACGAAGCTTCATCTCGTGGTAAAGCTGCTCGCCTCGAAATCCACAACATCATCTCCAACTCCTCCTCTCGATGATGATTAGGAACAGAACAGTCCGGGTAAACAAAAATTATTTACAGCTTAAGACAGTAATTAATTACCTGAGTATTTTTTTACTGACTTACTGTGACTGTCGTTGTGAGGAAACACAGATCGATAGATCATAGATCTGAACTTTTGTTCCTTCCTTCCCAGTGGGAGCCCATTCTTGGATGGGACCAAGAACAACCGTGGCACGTGAGAAAGGGAGAGAGATCTGCACGGCCAGAACATCAAAGTTTATTATTCTCACTCACCCAACTCTTCAAGCAGAGAATAAATCGCAGAGAATCACAATGATTATTAACTTAACCTATGCCAAAGGAAGGTAGCGAGCGAGTGATCTATGCCTGTCCGTGTCCCTACATGTCACCTCTTTTATGCAGATAAAGTGAAGATTTTCAATAATTCTACGATTAAGGACCGTCAGGTTGGTGATGCCAGGATACTGCAACTGCAGCCCATAGCATCTCTGAAGCCTGAAATGAGAAGATTGCAGAATTTTGCAAATGCAACTGATTCTCTCTGATCAATTGAGGAGTTCAAGGTAGCATGTAGGCCATCATATGATACAATGCATCATGTCAATCCAATCAAATCATCCAGAGTTTCAGGCCAGTGAATGGCCAAGAAAAGCGTTCTCCAGAATTGAGCCAACAGTCACCTGCACCATCCTGCAGAAAGCCATAATAAAAGCGAGGAGGAAGGAACAGAGAAAAAACGGCTGTCATCTTTCAGACCGGAGCATTTGTCCGGTGTGTTTTCAGAATTCAGACATGAATTCCGGAGGTCAGAAAGCACCAGCCCCCCATCTGCTTAATTACTTCGTCCCCACCGTTCCGATCTTTTAATTTCATGGAGTCATTAGCACACTTCCCAAGTTGACATGCTCGCTTCTCCAGCCATGTGAGCTAAAGCGGTGTGGAGAAGACAACCTGACATGTGATCTTTCACATCTTTTTTTTGCAGGTGTTGTTCTTCGGATTACCGGGTAGTTTGTCCATGAACTGTGTTCAGTGATAAACTTCTTCTGGAGTTCTGGAGATTGTGAAGTAGTTGATCCTACATTCGGTGCTCGAGCAATAGCAAATTCGTTCCAGCTGAAAAGTATAAACTCATGACTACTGATTTCTGAATATTTTGGGTATTCACCTCTGAACTCTGAAGATATTCAGAACACTAGTGCTTATCAGGCCTGAATTTATAGTGACACCACTGGCCCATGATGGCATAAAACCATCATTTGGATCACACTTTGATTAGGCCGTGCAGCCCCAACCACAAGTCCAAAACTGACCAAGAAAACTTTGATGCCGCATGCCTAACAAGTAGAGTGAAAGGTTTTCCTTTTTCTTGACTGATAGAAGAGTCAAAAGTTTGTGAGCAAAATCCTTCTAGTAACCCAAATTTCAGTCAGCGGTGAACGCGTAATTAGAGCATGAGAGGGGGACTTAAATGAACCAAGTGTCCAAGTGTGCAATTTTTAAGGGGAAAAATTACGGTAGAATTCAGTAAGTGGCGATGACGAACGGATGAAAAAAAAACATGAGAATAATATGACATCAATAAACTAAATATACATATTTTTTCTTAAAGTTTATCGCTTTAAAAGTTGTATATTTTTTAACGATAAACTGTGCTAAAATTATGGACAGCAAAGAGCGGTGAGTGGGAGAGGATGAGCATCCTGTCCACCACTCCTAAAAAACCATTTCGGATCACGATTTTGGCACGGAATGCCGACAAAATCGGAAATAAGGGTTGAACAGTCCATTCTGGTGTTGTCTGAATCGCGAAACAGAAAATTCCGTTCCTAAAATCGAAGAGAGACAGCTTCATCGGACGGCCACGGCCCCACCGCCGCCGCATCATCCACCGTCCGTTCCCGCGGTTAATCCCCCGCCAACCAAAAAGAGGAAAAAAAAAAGCGCCAAGCCGAATCAGCTACAGGGCTACAGCTTGAGCTAACGCGCGCCACTCCACGCTGTCGATGCCGTGCATGGCCATGGACGCCGCCGCGGCAGCGGGCGGCGAGATGTCGCGGCAGAAGGCGACGGCGTCGGCTCCGCCGCCGCCGGAGCTGGACATGGTGGCGCGCGCCGTGCAGCGGCTGGTGGCGCGGAACGACGCGGTGGAGGCGCTGAGCGGCGGAGGGGAGGCGGCGGCGGGGCTAGGAGCAGGGATGGCGGCGTTCGAGGCGGCGAGGGGCGCGCCGGCGCCGCGCATCGGCGTGGCGCAGTATCTGGAGCGCGTGCACCGGTACGCCGGGCTGGAGCCGGAGTGCTACGTGGTGGCGTACGCGTACGTCGACATGGCGGCGCACCGCCGCCCCGCCGCCGCCGTCGCCTCCCGCAACGTCCACCGCCTCCTCCTCGCCTGCCTCCTCGTCGCCTCCAAGGTTCTCGACGACTTGTAAGCATAAATCATCTCTTCTTAATTAACCTCTAATTTACTCGTTCGCAAGTAAAATCTTACACATAATTGAACCATGTAAAAGAACCTCAGTTTTGTTAGGATACATGAAGAACAAACACAAAGATTGTGGCCACTTTGTCTGTGTATTAATCCCAGCAACTGTGTTTGTTCTTATCATGAACAGTTGGAAACATAACCACAGATCTGCAGTCACTACTGCATGAACAGTCAATGGGTAGATTGAGACCAACCAATACCACAATTAAATAAGAATGAATTAATCGATCGGTAATTATTATTTATTTTTTGGAAAAAGTACGAATCACCCCCCGAACTATAGCGGTCGTCTGAATTACCTCCCTGAACCATAAAACTGGATATTCTTCACCCCGAACTATGTAAATCAGACGAATTACCCCCCTCGACCTAATCCGCGGTGGTTTTGGTCTATGTGGCATACGCTGGTAGTCCAGTCAGTATTTTATTTATTAAAAAAATATGGAACCCACTTGTCATACTCCTATCCAACTATTCCCCTCTCTCTCTTATCTCCCTCTTCTCTCACTCTCTTCTCACTCACGCACACGGAGGCAGGCGGGCGACAGGGAGCGGCGGCGGCGGTGGAGGCGAGCGGCGGGGGATGAGGCGGCGAGCGGCGGCGGGGTGCGGCGGAGTAGGCGAGGCGAGGCGGCGGCGGCGGCAGAGGAGGAGGAGGCGAGTGCAGCGGCGGCGGGGTGCGGCGGAGGAGGGGAGCGCGGCGGCAACGGCGGCGGGGTGTGGCGGAGGAGACGAGCGGCGGCGGGGTGCGGCGGAGGAGGCGAGAGCGGCGGCGGGGTGCGGCGGAGGAGGCGAGCGCGGCGGCGTCGCGGGCCACGCGGAGCCGCCTCGCCTCGACGAGTGCCGCCGCGACCATGGCGAGACAGGCCGTCGCTGGTGAGGCGCCTCGCGAGCGGCACCACCAGGTGGTCTCGCCCTGCCTCGCCTCCTCCGCCCCCGCCGTTCGCCTCGCCGCCGCGCTCGCCTCTCCACCCCCTCGCCTCCTCCGCCGCCGCCTCGCCTCGCCGCGCTCCTGCCATGCCGCCGCCGTCTTGGAGAAGAGAGAGAGAATGAGAGATAGAAGAGATAGAAGAGAGAGATAAACTGACAGGTGGGGCCCACCTATTTTTTAATAAATAAATTGCTGACTGGACCGCCAGACCAAAACCACCGCGGATTTGGGTCGAGGGGGGTAATTCGTCCGGTTTACATAGTTCAGGGTGAAAAATGTCCGGTTTTGTGGTTAGGGGGGGTAATTCAGACGACTGCTATAGTTCGGAGGGTAATTCGTACTTTTTCCTTATTTTTTTTTAATGGAGTAGACTTTGCAAGGCATGGAAATGACCGAGGGTTATCCATCCTTTTCTTGATGCTCAATTTAATCCTTTGGCCATCAGGTCAGTAGGTGGTTGCCCTACGTACGTATTCTTCTGATACTGACATGCGTATGATCAATACAGCTTAACGTCATTTTTCGCGTCAGTAATCGATCATTAGTGCTAGTACCATGTGTCATCATTCGATTAGTAGTTAGTTGCATTTATTCAGCGATTAGTTGCTTCTTAGTTAGTACTTACACTGTGACAGTAACCTAGTAGTTGGGAAATCTTCTTACCACTTTTATGTACATACACTCGTTTTATGCCTGTCACTATAAAAAATTAAAACATTTTGATAAGATATATCAACTATAAACATACAATTTAAAATTCGACCTACATATAGAAATAAAAAAATTATAAATATGACAATAAAAAATTATGTACTATTAGCAGTTTAGATGTGTTGTTTTTCTCTATTTGTATGTCAGAACTAGAATTTTAATTTGAATGTTTCTAGAGTGAAATGTTATATGTTGATATTTTTTTAAAAAAAAGAGAGTGACTTTTTAGTTGCATGAGCGTAGTTCCACTCGAGTGAGGAAAAAAAAACAGTTTCTGAATTAGTGGAGTATACTGTATACTTCAGTTCTGTTGGGTTAATTACCATTCGCGCGCGTGTGTGCAGCCACCACAACAACGCGTTCTTCGCGCGCGTCGGCGGCGTGAGCAACGCGGAGATGAACAGGCTGGAGCTGGAGCTCCTCGCCGTGCTGGACTTCGAGGTCATGCTCAGCCACCGCGTCTACGAGCTCTACCGCGAGCACCTCGAGAAGGAGGCGCGGAGGGACGGCGGCGGCGGCGACATGCTCGCCGGCGCGTCGGCCGCCGCCGCCGCCAAGGCGGGGAGAATGGCGGCCGTCTCGCCGTCCAAGCTGCTGGAACGCGCGGCGGTGAACGGCGCCGCGCAGCACGACGACTGGAGGAGCCTGGGTACGGCGGCGGCGGCGGAGGCGGCGAACGGCGTGCGGCGGCACAGGTCGTCGTCGTCGTCGCGGTATTCCTTCGATTGCTAGTATAGCCAGCGTTGCCAAAGAGCGCGTTCTGTGTGTATATATCAGGTTATCAACGAGAGTTTTTGAGGCTGTAAAAAAATTAAAGACGGATTAATTACCTGCCAAAGTGCCAATTAGCAAATGTTTGCCATACACGAACATTACTCGTTGCCTGTTCAGCAATTCAGCAATGAAAATGAAAATCTGGAACAATCGTCGAGTCGTTGTAGAGTTGGTTGTTTGATGGAATTTCTTTTCATGCATTAAACAACCTAATACCGGATATAACATATTCTAATATTATGAATCATGTTGATTTTTTTAGAACACGGAGAAAATATACATGAACACACCACCATCTTGTGTAAAACGGAAAAAGAAACTGTTTTTTTCCGTTCTTTTTCCGTGTGTCAATGTGTCGTAAAAACACCATCTAATAACCTCGCAGAGAAAAAAACCACAGTACTTCAATAGTTTGTACAGAAAACATGATGGATCAGGCTAAGTTTGTTGAAATCAAGGTCTCAAAGGGAAAAAATAAAGAGGAAATCATGTAAAGCTCATACCGAGGAGTACAAAATTAGACCAACCATAGAAGAAAACCAACTCATCAAATGGCCAGTTTAGTTCCCCGCCAAAAAAAAATTTTACACATGTCACATCGAATGTTTGGACACATGCATAGAGTATTAAATATAAATAAAAAAACAACTAATTACACAGATTGCGTGTAAAATGCGAGACGAAACTTTTAAGACTAATTGCGCCATGATTTGACAATGTGATGCTACAATAAACATTTTCTAATGATGGATTAATTAGGCTTAATAAATTCGTCTTGCGGTTTATATACGGATTCTTTAATTTATTTTGTTATTAGATTACGTTTAATACTTTAAATGTGTATCCGTATATCCGATGTGACACGTTCAAATTTTACGCGTAACTAACACACCCAAAGTCATAGTTCGAGCAGTTGGTTGGTTCAACCATGAAGACTGTGACTGGGAGTAAAACAAAAAAAAAACTGAAAGACCTATTACCAAAAATAAAGACACTCTTCAAGGACCTAACTGCAAAATAACCGTCTCCTACCACGCCGCAAGCAAAAACAACGAGCTTCCCTCTCCTCCGCCCTCATTCCCTCCGACATGTCGCAGCCCGCCCCCTCGTAGAAGAGACGGCACAATTTACACTTCGCCCCCTCCAAATCTTCTCCTCCTCCTCCTCCTCCTCCTCGCCGTCGCCGCCGCGAGCGGGCGCGCTAGGGTTTCGGGCCGCCGCGGCGTCCTCCTCCTCCTCCTCCTCTTGTTCTGGTGGTCAGCGGGGGCGCGCGTCCGATGTCGTCGGGGGCAGCGGCGTCGGCGGCGGGGGTGGAGGCGGGGGCGGCGGGGGGCGGGAAGGACGACGAGCTGGCTGATCTGGTGCGGCGCCTAGTGGACGCCCTCGCCCGCTACTCCGATCGCCTCCCGTTCGACCTCGATCGCCAGGTTTGCCGCTCGGATCTGTGATCCCCCCCGTGTCGCGCGTGTGTTTTGCGGTGTTTTGATAATCTCTAGGTTTTCCTCGCTGTTTAGGGATTTGTGGTGGTCCGTGGTGTAAAGGTGGCGCGCCTTGCTTGATTGTTTGTGGGGAAGGCTAGTCTTTTTTGTTTGGAACTATATTTTATACTGTGGCCATTCTACTATTGTTTAGTTGTTATTACATACATATGAGTTCGAAGCATCGATTTGGTAATTCGTTCTTAGCAGCTGTACAAGCTAGAAGCTGTAGTAAATTTTTAGGCGTGGATTCGCAGTTCGCTAATGATATGTCTCCCTTTTGGGAAATGTGGTCGTATTTGGGTCATTGTGATAGTTGAGATTTTGATGTATCCTTTAGGTTAGTAATAGGCTAATAGTGCTGCGAGAAATAGTTACTATGTAGAAGTGTTGGTTGGCCAGAAAGATGCAAACTTTTATGATGGCTTGCTTTATGTGATATCATCGAATGATCTACTTACCTCTATAGTCAGTTAATGAATCACTAAATAATTCGTTAATGGCATGTTGTCGTTTTGTAAGTTCTCTTGACTGTAGTGTTTTACAACGCTATTTCCAAGAACTCGGTAGTAATACAACGTGCAGATCCTAGGCTAGTAATGGATGCAAGCACAGGCATACACATGCGAACATGACATGTGCATGCACGGCGAGGTAAACCGATTTCTATGCTCAGAAATCTGCGCTACAACGTCATTAAAACGACTTTAGGTATCAAATCACGTGAAAGCACTTAAAAGTGCCGTAGCGCTCGAAAATCGACCTTCTGGGCCCTATGTTGCAACTTGCAACAGCATGAGCATTCATATTATTCCACAAAAGATTGTACTTGGTGTCAATTTTTAATCCCTTGTATCAGTCGTTGTTGTGGTTTGGATGAGTGAATTGGTGCCATTTTTTGTGATTTCTCACACACAAAGTCCGTTTTATTAATTCTTGCTACAAGAATTATTGAATTACTTCAATCTTCTATTTTAGAAACTTCGCTCATTTACTACACTTGCCGCAATTACAATCACACTTATCTTTGCCTGGAAACTGTTGAGAGCTCCTCAAGAGCAACCTCGGAGGCCACGTAGACGCGTTGCTCCATCACCTAGCAACACCAGCAGTAGATCACGGCCAGGTGCTTTGACCTCAACGGATGCTTGTTCATCTTCAGCAGATTCAAGAGCACAGGAAGCAATCAACCAGCTTTTCCAGCCAGTAAACGTATTGCCTGTTTCCTTTTCTGAATACTGAAATGATGTATCTGCTTTTAGGATCCTTGGACTGATAGTTTGCTTATATTCTTCTCCAGCTGACTCTTGAGCAGCTTGTTAGGCATAAACTGAGCGAAGGACGAAGGGTATTTTGCAAGCAACTGCTTTCACACCTTTTTTTTTCACGAAATTTAAAGTTTTGTTATACCAATGCATGTTTCTTTCCCATGTGTGAATTATAATGTTTAGGTTACATGCCGGTTACTTGGTGTGATTTTGGAGGAAACAACTCCAGAGGAGCTCCAGGTGAGCAAAAGCGCTGCTGCAAAAAAAATTTCCTGTTTTTTGTTAACGAATTTAATTTAGCGGAATTATACTTTTTTTTCAGAACCATGTCACAGTGAGACCTTCTGTCCTGGAGGTTCTTCTAGAAATTGCAAAATTCTGTGATGTCTATCTGATGGAGCGCATTCTTGACGATGAAAGCGGAGTAAGTAATAAGGACCATGCATTTTTTCTGTTGCATTTATGTTTTACGCTTTACAAGTATGCTCAAGACTTGATATGTCAATATATACTGATATCGGCATATGCACGCGGAATAAACAGTAATCAATTTACCATTGATATCGGAATAATACGATGAATGAACAACTACCTGGTCTGCTATTTTATTTCATTATGTTCAGGGGTTCTTTTTTTTTTTAAAAAAAGAAAAGCAGAAGAGTATTTTTGGAATCATCACTATAGACACACTGCCTAGTACGGAATTTGAATGAGCTATTATAGCTTGACATCAGCACAACTGAATAATGTTGCAGGAAAAGGTGTTATCTGCCCTGAGTGAAGCTGGACTTTTTACGAACAGTGGATTGATAAAGGACAAGGTAAGCCGCATGATGAGGTCACTTCAGAAATATAACTGCTTAATCGTTTTTTTTTTCATTTGGGTATAGCCATTGGATGTTCGCAATGGACCTTATGTAACATTTCTTCAAATGGCAGGTTCTCTTCTGTAGTACAGAAAATGGCCGCACCTCTTTTGTGCGGCAACTGGAACCTGATTGGCACATTGATACTAGTCCAGAAATTGTTCATCAGCTAGCTGTAAGTCACAATTTTAACAATCAAGTATCATACTTATAGAAGCAGGTTTTGAGTTGCTATGCTCCCTTGCAGAGGTTTATCAAATATCAACTACATATTTCTCCACAACGAGCAGAAAGAGTAGCATCCAATGTTTTCAGCTCTACAAGCTTGGAACAATTCTTTGGAGGCCTTGATCAGAGATGATAATATGAGGTAGAGCAGGAGAGAATTTATTATTTGACATGTGCATCGGCGTGTTTCTCATGAAATTGATAGCAGCACCTGTATATCATCACCAAATTTGACATAAAACCTGTATGCTCAACCGACCGGAAGACATGACGGACTGAATATATGTACTGCACAATTCTACACGCCGTTCCTCTAATTTATACTGTCTATCTCTCTGCAGGTGAGCTCCAGCAAACAATGGCATAGCGAGAACTGAGACGAACATCATTGTTCATTTTTTTTCCTTGAATGATGGAACTCGTTTTTCTTGTACCATGTGTAAAAGTCGTGTCATGTTAAACTGGTTCTGCAACTCCCCATAAGCTATGGAAAGAGATAGCATCTGTAGCATAATCCATGTATCAATTGTGTTCCTGTATAACCGAAATACTTAAAATTGTCATCCAGTTATTTGTTCGGCCATTCATCCCAGAAATGTGTTATTTTCACAAAAGGAAAAATCTCAACTGAACAGAAGGAATAAAAACTTTCTGCAGCATCCAACATTAGCACAGCAAAATCCAGCATCCACTCAAATAAGTACGTATCATATCATTCTTTCCGCATATCCTATCCTAACATTTTTGGAGTTGTCAAAATCTCAATTGCATATCCTAGACAAAAAAAATAAAATAAATGGAGTCGTCAAAACTTCAATTGCATATTCCACACCAAAAAAATAAATTTCAGGAACCTCCAAACTGTGGATCTTGTTCAGTTGGGCTTTTCTTCTTGGCACCTAGGGCACGTACAGATGAATCCATAATCTGCAAGCTCCGCCTGCCTCTCCTCGTAGGAGACATCCTCATCGATGTAGGATATGGTAATCTAGAATTTTCACAGTTAGTACTTGGCAAAACAACGTTTTCAATGTTTTCTTTTTTCACTGGCAGCACAAGAAAAAAAATATTTGAGATAAGCGTTAACAGCTCAGTACCTCATCGTCCTTCTTGATAGGCTCCAGAGCAATTATCACTGCATTACCATCAGTATCCTGCAACGGTAGTTCAATGGTTTTGTCGGATTGCTGACTGGCAATTTGGTGTGAAAAATGAGCGAATCAACTGGAAGAAATATAGATTACCTCATCCCTTTTATATGCTTTAGCATTTGGACAACATGAATGATTCATACAGCTTTGCAAAGGAAAGAATGCCGTCCCTGCCAACGAGAAAATTCACAAGAGAATGAACGAATACTGCTGGGTAAATAGAAAATGACATTACTGTGGGGGGAGATAAACTTGGGAAGAAGCTCCACATACCCTCACAAGGAGCTGCATAGTCTTCACCTAAAGCATCTAGAAATGGCCTTGTAACCTTTTCAGCTTCCTCCTGGGATATGTTGCACTTCAGATTAACAATGCCACAAGAAAAGCTAAGGCTAACCAGTGAAAATACCTTCTCATCATCTGGAAGATCATCAATATGTATGAAATAGTCTTCCACTGGAGACGGAACAACCAAACCACTGGAATAAAAGATGGAAATATATTGAGGTTATTACATCAAATGCAGTACAGAACTTATTTCTGTTGATGGAAAGAAACAATGACAGAGTATGTAATGCACATATACAAATGAAAAATAATTAGATTTACTTACAGATTGTTCAGCTCAAACATGCCAATTAAATGGCCATACACGTCAAGTGAGAACACTAGGAAATGTCAAGGTGACCGTTTTTTTTTACGTGAGTCAATGAAACTTGATTACTTGAATGTGAAGGGAAGCTACTTATTTATATATATGAACTGATCTAGTATATGCCAAAAAGGATACAGGGTGCACACTCAGAATCAAAAATAGCATCCTTGAGAAGCTGCAATGACTGCGAAACACAGAAGATAATGATCTGCCCATCAATCCATTGGTATGTGGGACACTTTTCAATCAAAACAATAACCACTTCTTGTGTGCCATTTTTATATTTTAACTGACGAGCTAGTGAATAAAGCTTCGTTTCAGAGCACAATATTGTGAATAGAATACCTATATAGTTTCAAAAGAATGAAATATGTGACAGCATAATTACCGTAAGTGCTAGATCCCTAATTTGCTGCCTAAATGTATCTTCATCACAGGAATCAACATCCTCAGGCAAAGCAACAGAGTCCCACCACCTGCAACAAGATTTTTTTTTTTTGGGACATATTAGGGTGGAACAACAATGCAAACAACTCAAAGGATCTTGTAGAGCTAGAGCAAGGTAGTGAAAGCCACACTGAGCTGAAAATAACATCTTGCCAACAAATCCAAAAAAAGAGAACAAAATATGCAACCATGCAACAGAGATCTTATTGACTGTTATAAATGAGAAGAGTGGAAATATACTAGTACCATTGAATTATTGATATACACTTGATGAAGAAACTATCGATTGTGCATTAAAATAACACTGCTGGTAGTGCCATACGCGCAGCTACTTTATCAGAGGGGATGAATAGTTGCATGCGAATTCATGACTTTACCTCTTTTTGTAGCCCATCGAAAGTGGTTTCCATGCTTCCATAAGCAAAGAAAAGTTTGATTCATCTGTGTTATTTTGAAATTCAGGCTGCGTTTTGAGTTTCTTGTACCTCAGCAGAGTGAAAGTGATAGCCTGACATGTAAAATTGTATCGAGCTCATGCATCATGATCAGGAGATATTAAATTGACTGCAATTGGTAGCAATAAGGAAATTGCAATTGAATCTTTTGTTTGGGGATGTTCTTGATATAGCTACTAAAACTCGTCTTGTGCAATAGTCTGTCCTGGTGCATTGATAAGTAGATTGCTGACAGCCATTAGTGATAACAGTACCAACTCAAGTGTGATGCTTGAATGCTTTTTGTATTAGCCATGGACAATGGCAAAGTTCTAGTATCCCCATAAAACTTTTGGAGAATATTAGAATCTGAGATGAGCACATAACACGATGTTTAGTGCTTAGTACACTAAACATTAATCTATATTTCTATCACATACCTTGGCAGCAACAAGAAAAATATCATTGGACCCTGAAAATAAAGATTGGTCAGTAGCAGATAACAGACTGACAACCTCAATCACAATCATCACTAATCAGGAACAATTGATCTAGGCATGCTGCATTTAATGAATAGTGAACACAACATAAATTCGTAATGATGGTATATAATGATCACTGCATACTGCACTTACCATTTGCATGTTCTATGAATTTCTGAAGAGCAGATCTCTGGGATGGTTCAGTCTTAGATCCAGTACACAGCAAAGAGTGATAAGTTTCCCAGTCGGAATCAGCACATGATTGGCTAAACAAAAATGCAGAATCAACAAGTTATGTTTTTACCCCAAGATTACATTTCTATCTAAGACGGCAAGAACAAGTTACATGTTCTGATAAGATAATTAGGTTTTAAGTTTTAACACGACCGACAACTATAACCTATGATGGAGAATGAATTGATCAACAAAATATTTATGCCTCAAACAAAATTCCTAACATCTTTGGGTGTTGCAGCCAAAAGAAAGTGTGAACTGTAAAATGGTTAGTGACTCAAACCTGCAGTAGCGTTCTTCCTCACATCCACGACAAGGAACAACTTGAGGCAAACTAAAATGGTCTGTGAAAGGCAGTGACATGTCACCAGTAATAAGTGATCCTAAGACCTCTTCTGGCAAAGTACTACTGTTTTCCTTTGTTGCACCAGAAGAACTGGCACTCGATCCCAAATCACTCTCATGGCAATGCCTCCTATTAGTGCAGTCACTGCTTGAACCAACGCTTTGCCAATACAATCTTCGTCCAATCTGGAACTCTATAGAACCAATGAAGCGAAAGCAATAACTGCACACAGCGCAATCAATCTGAAATAAAACACAAAATGGACACCACACTTCAGGGAGGAGCAGTTCACACAAAAAATAGAAGGGAACAAATACCTAGGATCACTTCAAAAGCAGACGAACCTTGTTAAGACTGTGCTGAGCACCAACCAATATTTGATCCTTCAGAATAAGGTCCCCTTCTGCAAACTCCTTGTTCGCACAAACACCTGCAAGAACCAACTGGTTAAGTATCTTGGCTTTTACCCGACACCAACTTTATACAAGCACTCCAAGTTTGCCGGATTGCATTGCACAAGATATATAAGTATTCAGTAACCAGTACCTTTCCCATGCTTGCTGCTGAAGTTCACTCTTATACCATCATGTTTCCTGGACTGTATGAGCCCATTGTAGTATTCCTGAAAACAAAAGTAGCATAGCTGTGTGTCAGATGGGAGCTACAGATCGTCAGCAATACATGAACTAAAGTAACCAAGGAAGGAGAAAAAAAGCCATAAAAGATTTACTACAATTTTACTGGCTTCAAGGAGACAATTGTAACTGCAACACAGAAAGAAGCCAAGAACACAAAAGATTGTTTCTATTCTGTCGAATTGATACCTCCATCGAGCTACATTCACTACACACTAACTGGGATACCCAAAAAAGACAAACTTAAGATTGTACTTCTGCAAATAAAACATTAAACTACACCGTTACTGTTGTAAACTAAACAATTCGCCTCTCATCTCACCAATCTAAAAAAAACCATCCATGCGGACCAAAAAGAAATCCTCCTTTCTCAGTAAGATAACTGAAACCAATCATAGTAAGATATACCCATCATAGTATCACTTCCTTATAACGAAATTCCCGACAATGATTACCCAACCTTTCTACAGGGAAAAACAATAATCGCAGCACAAGCAATTCCCAAGCAGATAGATTTGAGACCCGGAGGATGGATGGGCAAGGGAAGGAAAAAGAAAACGTACCTGCGCGGGTTGGAGAGGAGGGGTGGCGAGGAGCTGGGCGATTTGGGGCGCGAACTCCCTGTCCAGGTCACACGGGCTTGCGCTGCTCCCACCCATGCCGCCGCCAGCGCGAGCTGCTGCCTCTTGCGGCTGCTTCTTCCGCCGCCGCTCGCCGCCGCCGCCGTGGGGTTTGGGGGGTTTTGTTCTCGAGACCTTGTCTCGTACTTGGGGGAGAGGTGTGGATATGAACATACGTGTTCGAGCTATGAAGGCGGAAACAAGGGAAGTACGCCTCCTTGTTGAAAACGGAAACTGCCATTTTTGGTTCAAATTGACAGCCGGTGTATGCATAACTGCACACACATAAGGAATATGTGAATGTTACTTGTAAACTGCATACATATGGTATATGTGAAATTGCGATTATCAACTCCAGTCAACTAACATTGTCATCATATCCCTGATGCTTATGCAAGAATTCCCCCAAAAAGAATGCTAAAGCAATTAAACCACCACCAAGTACCTAATCCGTAGTATAGAATGTAATTCATCCTCTAGTACTATGAATCTGTATAGAAGTAGGTAGGATGTATCATATTATATTCTATATTGGGTTAAGGGAGTATATGTACTAGCCCAGTTCCATTCCGAGTTTATGTGTTCGTCACCATCACCATGTCAAGTCAACATCCAGCCTTCAACCTTTGTAACCAAGACGTGCATCGAGATTGCTTGTGATGATCATTTCAATAATGCAACATACACTGCTAATTACTAGTAATATTTGTGAGTGTTAGATACACCGAATACAGCAGAAAACAACTTCCTAGGTCCCCAATGCACAATACATAAACAATATACAAACTTTTTCTTTTCTTTTTGTTTTTTTGAGATGGAACTTAATTATCTACCACTTGCTGGGTAGCTAGTGAGCGCCAGCTCGATCGACAATTCTCATTAGATGCATAGCAGTATAGCCCATGTATATATATATCTATGAATTTAGATATATCCTATTTCTAGATTTATAGTTAGAAATTGGATTTTTTTTTTGGAGCGAGTATAATCGAATTGCTGAATTGATACCTTGTCAACTCCTTCGATCCGATCAATCAAACCTGCCATAGTCATAGTGCCGTGATCATATATGTATGAACTCCCCCAGATATGCGATTAATCCAACTAACTATTGCCTAAATTACTTGTATATTAGCCATATCATTGGCATAATGCTGTCAACCTCTTAGTTAGTTGGATTGCAAATTAAATGGGACATGGCACGAGCAGGTAACTATACAAAATTTTCATCGTCATCCACGATCCAACCACCAGCTGGTGCAAAACCAGCAGCTTGATATATAAATTCAGGCAGTAGCTGCGCCATTGCTGGTATTAGCTAGCTTCTCTGCAGCCTCTTCCATTCCTAGCTAGCTTGTGCAAGAGCTCGCAACAATGTCGTCGTCGTCGTCGTCGTTGAAGGCCTTGGTGGCGTTCATGGCCGTGGCCACCGTCGCCGAGCTCGCCGCCGGCAGCAAGACGTGGGCCATCAAGTGGGCCTCCGGCGGGAACTACGGCGACTGGTCGTCCAAGAACACGGTCGCCGTCGGCGACAGCGTCGGTGAGTGAGCTTCTCCATTCCTCCTCCGTTCTTGGCATCTGGCAACAATGGCGTCTGAGCTGATCGATCGGCGTGTGTAATGTGGCGCAGTGTTCACGTACGGGACGCCGCACACCGTCGACGAGCTGTCGGCGGCGGACTACACGGCGTGCAGCTTCGCCGCCCCGCTCTCGTCGGACGCCGGCGGCAGCACCACCGTCGTCTTCGACAAGCCCGGGACGAGGTACTTCGCCTGTTCGTCCGGGTCGCACTGCAGCATGGGCCAGAAGGTGGCCATCACGGTCTCCAACTCGACGGCGCCGCCGTCGTCGTCCAAGGGCGGCTCGTCGTCGTACGGCGCGGCGGCCGGCGGCGGCGCCGAGCTCGCCTCCAAGCTGGTGGTGGGCCTCGCAGTCGGCGCCGGCGCCATTCTTGCGCTCTGAACATGAACTCGATCGTCTCTGAATTATTGGCAGCATTTCCGTCGTTTGAGATCTTTGCGTTGCGGTGTTCCTATTTGTGTAATGTGCAGTGGATTCCCTTTTGTTATGATCTTGTTTTTTGTATGCATATTTTCTTGAATGAATTTAGTAGTTATGCTTGATTACACAAAATCAGAACTTGTCTAATGAAAATTTTACACAGCATCGCTAGCACTTCACAAATTTGACTTCTACATATTGTAAAAAAAATATCAAATTTGAATTTGCATGCTTGTGCAGTGAAATATCACATATTAATCCATCCTGCAATGACAGTTTTTTTTTACATTTTTTTAATAATTATTTAAATAACATCGCAAGAAACGAAGGGCATCTCCTTAAAGGGCGAAAAAGACTTCCCCATCACAATCATAGGAGTAACAGTTTGTACTTTGTAATGCATTCCATCAGAGAACCAACATTAAAATTAGCATGCCATATATATATACACACAAAAAAAGGCTGCTTCTGATGTAAGACCTCCTAACATCCCATTCCAGCGACGGCGAACATAATCTAATTACAAAAGCTAACTAACCCTCTCTGTCCAATGATCAGAGCAATTCAAAAGACATGGCATCACCCATGGTGAGGAACATCGGGTGCATAAATTAATGGTGCTAAGGCTTTGTCATCAGCTATAGCTGATAGGACTATGTCAGTCTTGCTACGACAAAATTCACCAGCTAGCTCCACAAAAGGATCATGAGCTGCCCTCATATTCCGAATAGATATTGGAGATCATCTATGGTGAGCCGAGTTGCACTGCCGCCAGGTTTGTCCTCACCAAAAGCAGATTGGACCATCTTTCTCTTCTTCTCCTGGCAAGAGAACATAAAAGTTGTGTTGACAAAAATGGAGAGTAAAAAAGAAAACATGCACAAGCATGGTGACACTGTCTAAAATGAATTGATCACCAGTCTAGCTCCAAAGCATGTCCAATTATTTAACAACCCTTACAATCGAGAGAATCGAAAAAAAATGCATGAAATTGCCTACATGATTTCAGCTACTTTGTAAAAAAGGTAAACCTCATATTAGTTTCAAGAAAAAAATACATGCTAACCAGTATACGCAAGAATGGAAAATTTTCATTTTGTAGAAATGCATCTTTAACTGATGAAGTTAAATATGTTCAGTTCATATCCTACATCCAGACGACTAATGAAGTGCATACCATCTAAAAGAAGAAAGGCTCATGCTTTTGAAATGAAAATGTAACAGCCAAAATGATACCTGTAGAGCTAAAATCCGATCTTCCACTGTGTCTTTGATAGTTAAGCGGGAAACGGTTACAGGACGGGTCTGACCAATTCTGTGTGCTCTATCAACTGCCTGGTCCTCAGCATAAGGGTTCCACCATGGATCAATCATAATCACATGGCAAGCAGCTACCATGTTGAGACCAAGATTTCCAGCCTTAAGTGACATGAGCATCACTCTCACCTGAAGAATGAAATTTAGTTATATTTGTTGACCATCTACATGTAACATCAAAAAAAAGAAGATAGAGATGAAGGGCGTCAGAAAAGTACCTCTGGATCAGTGTTGAATTCTCTCACTGCTGCTTCTCTTAAGTTGAGAGACATTGCACCATCAAGCCTTCTGAATTTTATACGGCTGCTATCCAGCGAAAGCTCCAGCAAGTCCAGCAAGCCAGTCCACTGGGAGAATACTATCGCCTTAGAAGGGGCTACTTCACTTGGACTTGATTCCATAGTATCACTCCAAGTTAGAGCAGGTGTATTCACGATTGAGTTAAGTATGTCAGTGGTTGCCCTGATCTTAGAAGATATGTAACTGCTTTCACAGATTGATGGAGAGCCATCTGCTTCTACAGAACTACTAGTTGTTGCACCAGACTCCAATTTATCAGCTATACAAAACCTTAACACTCCAGGTGAAAAAACTGTTTGAGCGCTTAATTTCTTCCCACAAGAAGGGGAGGGACAGACATTCTCATCACTTGTTAAGCTCTTATGCACACACTGATAACAGAAAACATGACCACATGTTGCTACAACAACATCCTCAGGTGGGTCCTGCAAAACGCGCAGAAATCAAATTACCGTAGTTATCTTAGTATCCATGGAGTAACAAACAGTTCAGATAAAATTAAACTACTGATTGTTTAATCACACACACATGACAGTTCAGATAAAATTAAACCACTGATTGTTTAATCACACACACATGACAATCCTGTTCTGATATCCTTATTTTGCTTTTTCATAAAAGAAACTATTCGAAGATAATGTAATACTATTTTTTTGCATGTACAGTATGTGATTAGATTGCTTACACTGCATCTGGAACAAATTGCATAGTCTCCTTCCAGCTGTCCAAGCAAATTTATCACTGTTTCCTTAGGAAGTTTGTTTGCCACTTCTACAGAACCAGTATCAATCAAATCTTTTTCCTTTCCCTTCAAAAGAAGAGGATGGTCACAAGCCTGCCGAAGTCGCAGCAGCAATACAAGAATGTTTGCAAAATTTTCTCTTATCGTCCCAGCAGAAGCATATTCCTGTAGTATGAACATGGAGTATAAACATTTTGCATTGAAATTTCTGAACTACTGCAAATATTTTGAAAAAGAAAAGTAATCACACTGAACATGGTAAACTATTGACTAGCAAACCTACTTGTGCTTACGAAGATAAATGTAAAAACTTGGCTTCTGTTCATTAAAAGTAAAACCTTCACAATTGCTGTGGGCACAATACAGCTAAGTGTTCATCGGATAAGACAAGAGTAGAAAACAAAATGTATGGAGTATTGATATGGTGCTATTCTAAGACCTTGCAGCAACAACTGAGTTAGGAATAAATCAAAACCGAGCATATCTAAGTTCAAATAATGAGTATCTAGAGAACGGACAGTATCTATCTATGCACCATAACTGCCGATCGCTTTTTCATTTAAGATCTAATAGTTGACATAGTAATGCAATATTTTCGATAGAAAAAAAAAGAGGCAAAATTGAAGTGGCCATACCTTGAACTTTTCCCTAGAACCTTCTTCAAGCATCATATAGAAAGTTCGCTCCTCTTTTGAGAAGTCTATTTTGCTCAGCTGAATCGTTTTTGGTGGCAATTTTATGATTGGTTCTCCATCGATTAGTGTTTCTGTATTTGAACAGTCCAAAAAATAGATTAATTAGACAACATCAGAACCAGTGAAAACAAAAAAACAGCCATATGCACTGAAACTGAAAGCACATCTTACAAATTTAAGATATGCAACCAAGTATTGAAGCTGAAAACATCAACTCAAGCAACATATAAATAAACAGAATGTTACGGGGTACTCAATATGATTCCACCCAAAAAGATAGTACTCTTTCAATTATGTTTCCCACCTTCACAAATTCCAGATTTTCAGATGTATTTCATGACTTCCATAAAATGCTAGAGATCCAAGATAAGAGGTTGCATTTTTCCAAGTAAAAGTTGATTTTGCCATGATATCGTATTATCATATATATTAGCTCCAGCACACACATATATAATGAATGAATCAATATCAATATTTTTAAATTTTCATAGTTGTGAGTAATACCAACGATTATTGTCAGGAATTAGTAAGCATCAGAGGCAATGGGATGTGGGTTTCATATAGCAGATAACTAAAAGGTACAAAGTTGCAGACACATATGCAGTCATGATTTTCTATTTTACCTTTTGTGCGCCGCAACAGAACTATCTTCAAGACAGCTTGGAGTTTCTTATATCCACGAGTTGCATCTCTAGAAATTTGGTATTTTATCATAGAGCGAAAGGAACCATACACAGAATATGGTTCATACTTCAAGAAACGGAAATAACTATACAGATCATCAATTGTATTTTGTATAGGAGTTCCTGATAAACACCATCTCCGTTTTGCTCTCAGTCCACAACAGGCTCTAGCCACTTGAGTATTGTGATTCTTTATTGTTTGAGCTTCATCAAGCACAACTCTGAACCATCGCACTCTGGCAAGTGGTCCACCATCAAGGTCAGCATCTGAATTTTTGGGTTTCTTTTTCTTCTTTGGTTCGCTGTCTTTCTTTCTTTTATTGCCAATAGAAAATGCTGGACATAACCCATATGTTTCGCTGTTCTTTTCCTCCATATCCTCATCAAAGTTTTGTTTGGGTACCTCATTGGCTACAATAGTGTATGTGGTGACAACAACATCATATTTTGTCAACTCAGTTGGATCTTTAGTCCTTGAACCTCCATGATAAACCAAAACAGACAATTTAGAACTTTCAGTAACCTTGGCAGCCAACTCACTAGCCCACTGTCTAAGAACGCTGGCTGGACACACCACTAGTGTTCCCGCAGTTGATCTATTAGCAGACCTCAAAGTTGACGAAGGCGATGGTCTCACTCTAGCCTTCTTCTTGGGTTCAACTTTGACAGCATTTACCATTCTATCAACAGCAGACCCCGGTAGACTAGCCCAGGGCTTCAGATCTGCGGCATCACTTGCTGCTTCTGATGATGGAAACAGTGTTGAATCCTGTAGCATATTCACAGATTCACCCTTCAGTTGCTTCTTGTCCATGACTATCACTACTTCATCATCCTCATCAAGGTTAGCTACAGATTTCATGCTGCCCACATCAGCAGACATGAACTTAGACTGCTCAACCCTCTCCTTTTGTATAAGGGCAATAGTTGATATTGTCTTCCCAAGACCCTGCGTCACATAAAGTTATGTCCCTATAAGATAGGGGATCCAGTAAAACAAGTAACAGTTATCAAGGTAGAAAATAGAACTAACCTGATCGTCTGCCAAAATTCCACCTGAACAATGTGAGCTATTCTCCCTGGAAACCATCCAAGCTAATGCTATTCTCTTTCAATAATGAAGAACATAGCAGTGAACAGGATCAGTAGAATAAATAGAATTATCACACAACCAAGATTTTCAAAATATAAACTTTACCTGGTGCTTAAGGAGTGATACTGACATAACACCTTCAGGCAAATTTTCTTCCGTTGTTTCTTGACTGATTTGCTGCACAATATATTTTTTTGTTTTAAAAAGGTATAATCCACAGTAAGTACAATAAAATTGAATCACCACACAATTATATTCTATACCTTCAGGGCTTCATCATACACCACCCTCTCATCACGGCCAAAAAGCCTCTTTTCTATATTTAAGTGGCTCTGAGTGCCAAGGCCATTGACTCCAAAATTGTTAACAGAATTGTTGTATGGCACTGATGGAGGAAAGATCCTATGTGAGTTTAGACCTCCATATGCAGAGACACCACCTGCAAGTTTCAAACAGAGAGAAAAAAATTACTAATATCGCATTTTATACTAGTAAAACTATTTTTATGTGATCACCCATCAGAATATTTGAGGGAATTATGGTACATGAACATCATCATTATCAGTTTTAACTTTTCAGTTGCTATTAATAGGTAGCTTCCAACCTGTTGACATTGCAGATGTAGGCATCTCGATTCCATAGGCAGAACTTGTTTGAAAACCATTGTACTTCCAAGTGGATTCTTCCTCGATCTTCTTGTCACCTAAACTCGAATGACTGAACGGAAATGGTTGATGCAGAACCTCATAGACATCATCTGACAGGTTTCAAAAGGGAAAAACTTTAGTTGTACTAATCGCAAGTTACAGCAGTATACTTTTCAAGTTAATCAAGGATAGTTCTACTCACCGTCATCATCATCAATTGAAACACCCTGGCCATAACTAACATATGGCTTGTAGCCACTTGCAATAGCAGGTGAAGGGAACCCAATTCCATTATAGTGCACAGTGTTAGGCTTCACAGTGGGGTGTGTACTTTCAACATTGTTACCTCCTGTTAGAGAAAGTGGACGAGACTTGTAACTGCTGCTCATGAAGGTATGTGGAAGAGTCCTGTATTGCCAAGCACTATTCTGACAGTCAGTGTTGACACCGCTGCTGCTTTCAATAATGTCTGATCTATTCTCAGCAGGTCTATGAGAGGATAAAGCATGAGTGTTGTTTAACCAGTTATCGTCATCCAGCCCGACTAGTAGTTCTGAACTATTATTGCCAAATGCTGTGTTGTGCAAAACCACCTGGTTAACACCATCATTGGGATCGTCAAAATCAAGATTGTCTTCTGTATCTGAGTACGGGCTGAAGTACTCTTCACTGTCTGAACACAAGTCAATAATATCCATATTGTGCTAGCAAACATGGGCATCAACTCTCTGTTGTCAGATATCTGCGATGCTTAGCTTCACTAATCCCCAACAAGCCTGGTCAGACCACACTATCTCCAGCACACTGCAAACAAATTATCTTGATGAACCCACTTGAATACTATCTTCTGCAAAATAATTTGTGAATTGGAAGTCAGAAGTCTGAACAAATGATGCATTCAGTAATTTGCAGCAGTAACTGTGGTTTAATTCTTCAAGGGGCACTGCAATAGCCCAGATAGGAAATACAATTTCAACTTGGTGCATACAAGGGTTGCAAATAACACCTAAAAATATTTTTTTAAAAAAAACACTTTTTTACATCAAGAACAATATTTGCCTAAACCAGGCACAGTGATGTGCAATAAACTGATACATAAAACTATTTAAGGAAGTAAACACTAATGCATTCCTAGGCTAAGTGTATTGATCAAAATGCAGCACCCTATTCAAAGAAAATCACAAATGAAAGATTAACTATTAATCCAAGGGCCAAAATTTTGAAAGAAGGAAGAATTGTCACAACATGAACTGAGTGTGCCATCACGCAAGCATCGCCTTCGACAAGGAACGGCAAAGCCAACTCCACAACAATCAAACAATTCGACTACAGGAATGCACAACCCTAATCAAGCCCACGATCGCTTAAAACTTCCCCCCAAAACCGCCCAATCCACCAAAACCCTACCTAAGCGAAATCCGCCCAAAGCCACCGCCTTCTCCTCCTCAAAAATGATCCGCCGCAATCAAAATCTCCCGCAAATCGCAACAACCCTCTCACACCTCCCCGAAACAAAACATCTCACAAAAGCATTCCATCCATTTGAACCAAAACCGCTAATAACCCCAAAGAAAGAAACCAGTCTTGCAAGAGAGAGTAGTAAAGAAGTTACCTCCTCCGAATCGTCGTCGTCGGCGGCGATTATCCGTTGGAGGGATCGAAGGCGGCGGGGAGCACACGAATCAAATCAAATCAAAATCAACCAAATTTCTTTTTGAGGGGAACTGCGTGGAGATTTTATCTGGTTCGTGACGGCCGCGCGGCGGCCGAATCGGAAAAACTCTCTCTCGCAAAGACGAGTGGGAAACCTGGGACTTATCAAGGCGTCGCCGGTTTCTCCGGGGGCGCGCTCGTGTGTGGCTGACGCGTGGGGCCCACGTGCCGGGCCCCACGTGTCAGTGGGCGCGGGCGAGCGGGAAAGGGTGGAAATTTCGATTGGTTCGCGGCTTGAAATCGTCGTGGAGGTGCCTTGTGTTGGAAGGAAACGGGTCGTGTGTGTTTTAAATTGTTTTTTTCTCAACGCAAAGTATGATGCGGTTTCGGAAGAAATTCCTCGGAAATTCAGATGGCCCCACCTGTCAGTGGCTATTGGGCGTTGCAACGGGGGCTGTCAACCCCTGAAAAATCGACTGATATTTTGAAAGGAGGAAACGAATAAGTAATTGCAACGGTAAAATTATCTTGTTACCGTTCAAAGAAAAATCTCTTGTTAGCAATAGCATTCGGACTAACCATCATTATCAACGCCCATGATCTTAGTTAATTGGGCATTAACATCGGACGGTCCTGGTTTACTGATCGATTTTTTGCTGTGCTGCAACTTGCAACTAAGCAGATATAAACAGCCACGAGGATTATTAAAAACAATATAAAACAAGAGAGGATTAGAGTAATAAGCCCTTGTTTAGTTCTCAACTTTCTCTTGAAACTTCTAGCTTTTCCATCACATCAAAAATTTTCTACACTCATAAACTTTCAATTTTTTTCTTCAATCTTTCAATTTTAGTCAAACTTCTAATTTTGACGTGGAACCAAACACACCCTAATATACTTATTTTGCACGGACTACTACAGGTCTTCAAAGATGAGCACTAAGGGTATGTTTAGTTTTTAAACAAAAATTTTCACGCTGACACATCGAATGTTTCGACACATGCATGGAGTATTAAATATAGACAAAAACAAAAACCAATTACACAGTTCATTAGGAAAATGCGAGATGAATCTTTTAAGCCTAATTGCGCCATGATTTGACAATGTGGTGCTACAGTAAACATTTACTATTGACTGATTAATTAGGCTTAATAAATTTGTCTCGTAATTTATAATTTATTTTGTTATTAGACTACGTTTAATACTTCAAATGTGTATTTGTATAACCGATGTGACATGCATGGATAAAATTTTTTGCCAACTAAACAAGCCCTAAACACATGAACCGAAGAACACTTGGAATCAAAATCGTTATTTATATCCAACCAAAATGATCATCAACGGCACAGAAGGCTAGACCAGCTTAAAATGCAGAAACTCAAAACTGTAGAAATAATTCACAGCCATCATAGTATTTCAAATTCAGAAGAAGAAAAATACAACAGAAAAAAAAAAGAAGAAAAAAAATATACTCCGAAGCGACTTGCTTTCACCCATGGGCCGGGGCGAGGCCCACTGCGAACGGGCTGGGCGGCCCAAGGTACGGCATGCTCGCCGTCGGCGGCGCGGCCGACGAAGCAGAGGCGACGCCGGGGAACGCGGCCACGGCCGGCTCCGTCAGCGGGACGCCGGGCGGCGTGTCGCCGGCGCCGGAGGTGGCCGGGAGAGGGTCGCCGCCGCCGCCGCCGCCGCCGTAGGCCGGCTGGAGCTGGCAGTCGGGCCACCGGCAGTCCGGCTGGACCTTCCGCTCGCCCCACGTCCGGTGGGCCAGCCCGAAGCCCAGGACGAGGCCCACTACGATGAGCGCCGCCGCGAGGCACAGGAAGATCTTGGTCGCCTTCCCCACGTAGCAGCACATTGCAAAGCTAAGCTCGTCGTCTTCTTCTTCTTCCTCCTCTCCGGCGAGCTCGTCCGGCCACCGCTCTCTCACCCACAATTCACAAAGAGCATGCGATGCAACGCCGCAGCCGCACTCGCAGCAGAGAGCACGAGAGGGGAAGAGAATGAGGCTGGAGAGAGAGAGCAATGGCGAGAGGGATCCAGCTCCAACTCCAACTCGCCTCGCGTTTTTGGCGGTGGTGCTGGCTGTCGGCTTTGCACTCGTGCGAGGCTTCACGTGAAGGAGAGAGAGAGATGGAGATATAGAGAGGTTCGTTAGTATCACGACCTAATCATCATATTATTAAAGTGAAATGATCACCATCGGTGACTGCATGTTTCTGAACATTTTAATCTCTTTTGCAGTCAGTGCAGCTCACTGTTCAGTTAGTCAGTGTTGTATATATGAACAGCAGAAAACATACTACAGTAAAGTTAGAAATTCAGATTATGGCAAGTCTCGTTTCTGCAGTTTATTCCAGTAAGTCAGCTCTGCATCGATCTAACTAACTCAGGTACAAACAATAGTTGCTATCATATCACACCTAAACTTGTCTGCTGTTAGTGATAGGAGATGCACTACTCTGCCGACACATCTAGTAAAAAGGTAGTAATTGATTGAAGGTAATTAACTGGAGTCTGGGACAAGATGATAAATGAAGTGTACAAGTTCAGAATAATGCTACAGTGGGTCTTCAGAGAATTGGATGGTGCAGGTTATGTGGTGAGGGTCCATGGTGTTGGTCCAATAATTCTCTTACTTTTATTTCTCTTTTGCCCTTTTTTCCCCTTAGCTTTTAATACTCTCATTTTGGATGATTGAATAGTGGAGCACAAAGATGAAGGAAGGCCTCAAGACAACCAGTGGCATGTCCATAGTTGGTCACATGTTGCACTGGGCCAAAGACCAGCTTGCATTTTTTGTTCATTCCTAGGTGTGGTTAGGTATGCAGCTTTAGGTTAGAGCCTTTTATGATGCAAATTCTTTTGATTGAAATGCAGAGCTTTTGCTAAGCTAATCATTAATTAGTAGTACCCTGCAACAGCAAGATAACGGTACAACCTACTAACATGATCTGCAGATTTTACAATGAATAAATCAGCTGCTCGTGACACTTGCTTACACCTGGGGATGTGCACTTTCTGCGGTGGCTGCAGAGATCATGGCAATTTTTATAGCTCATCGTCAGAGTACGCTTTGGAACTACACCATCCATCATCATGTGAAGTGAAAAGGCAAAGCACTACTAGGCATGCCAGATACTGTCAACAAATCTTTTTAGTCTAAACTCTGAAGTCTGAACCACATATTTTTCAACTGGAAACACATGTAAGTAAATTTCATAGAGCATGGTAAAGCCACAGCTGCAGCCTGCAGAACAAACTACCGCAAGGCACAAGCCTATCAGTTCAAAGGGACACCATTCAGAGTCACAGGAGCAAAGCTAGAATGTACACATGGACGCATTTTTCCGGACCTGACCAAGAAGCACCCACGGTCACAGAGAAGTTTCTGAAGATAAAGGCAACATCTATATATCTATTCCACCACTATATCAGGAGGAGCAGTAACTCCAAAGGACTCAGCAGAAGCGTCCACCATCTTCTTGACCTCATCTGGGTTGGCACCAACAATCTTGTTCACCACCTCCTTGTCCTTGATGAGAAAAAATGTCGGCATGGCCTTCACTCCAAGCTTGGACGAAACACTCTGCATGCACACGGTATATGATATAGCAGCTTGGCTCAGTAAACTAATTTAATGAGCATATATGCATAGCAGTTTTGTAACAAATGGTTATGCCATGATATTCAGTAGAAACAATTGAACATCAAAGATGAAAGCTCCGAAGTCTAAGGACATTTTCTAGACAACTCTATGTGAAATTATCAGTTTAGGCATCCACTTTCTCTACTTTCTATTCCTCAAAAGACACTTCGCTTTCAGAATTCAGAACAACTCAGAGAAAATACGACCATGGGATGTATTCCAAAAATACATGCATAAACAACACGTCATGAGACCAAAAATAGGAGAATGGTTTCCTTCTTTAAAAAAAAAACAGAGAGAATGGTTACCTGGACATCATCAACATCCACATAGAGGAACAGTATCTCAGGGTGTGTCTGAGCTAGCTCCTCAAACTTGTAGTTCATGGACAGCGAAGTCACACACCATGAAGCCCCAAAGTGGGCAACAACCTACACAAAGTCGAGGGGTCAATAACCAAGTTAACTTCTGAGTGAGTAAAAAGAAATTTCTGGTGCAACTGCAGCGGATAATTATCATCAGGAAAATTTTCAATTTGGAACTCAGTTTGTCAATTACAGTTACAGTGAAAGAAAAACGAGAAAGACCCAGAAAGAACGAAAAGAACATGATTACAGAAATCAGGTTGCATGAAGCATCCATCCCCACAAACTATTATACATATATCGTTCTAACAAAATTATAATCTACAAACAGCAATTACAAAAATCGTGGGCCGACCAAAATATGACTTGAGAATAAACAACATCAATATTCATCATGAGAGACAAAGCAGGAAAGATGTGGGGGAAGCCCGGCGAAAAAAAAAGAGGTGGGGGAAGAACAAGGCAAGGAAGAAAAAACCCACAGGGTGGCCTTCGTTGCTTGCTTGATTGACGAACAGATCCCATGACTCCTCCTTCTCAACCTTCACAACTTTGGAATTGCCAACCCCCTTCTGCTGCTGGATCTCCATATGGCCTAAGAAGCAAGAACAGAACCCTCTCCCTTTCACTCCGTGTTCTTGGTCTCCTCCTCCTCCTTGCTCCTTTCCCCAAGACCCCAACAAGAAGAGAACAAAATTATCACAGACTGTCTACAGGAAAGAGAAGTGGCAATCCTCCTGAAGATTAGATAAGCATGGGGATTTATATTCTAAAGCTGGTGGGTCCTGCCTTATTTTGGCTGGTAGTTTCTTCTGGAGTCAGTATCCTATGCAGTACTTCAAAAGCTATGAGCTTATATCAACCACATAAAAGATATGCCCAACGGGAATAAGGGCCGTGATGCAGAAAGGGTAGCAAATTAATAGAGAGCTTATCTCCTAGTGGAAAAGGAATGCTTATCAGGTGGGTACTAGCTCTGAAATGGTAACGTATTCTACATGAGCTGGTCAATTTATTAGCAATACAACAAATTGTGGATGTTAGAACATATTGGAGATGGTAAATTACAAAGCGATGTTTTTGTGTTCCTAGCTCCTTGAAATCGGATATATCATAAAGTATCATCATTTTGCAGAGCGCACCTACTGCAATTTCCATATATTTCTTATTGCAATAATCGAATAACAAAGAACAATAAGTTTGTATTCTCCCGCTCTAGAGTAATAAGTTTTGCATGTGGCAACCTTGCAATAACATCCAGTTTAAAGCTACCAAGTGAACAAATTAGGAGATCCATACGGAAGGGAAAACGTAGCTTGTTTTACTTAAGGTAGCACACATGTCACAGAATCACCTCAAAAACATGGACTGCCTGAGGTTAGAAGATTAGTTTGCTGCCATTCCTAGAATTCCTGCAAAGCAAGTAATAACTGTGAATTGTCATTTTCTGCGTTAACTAAAAGTAGAGACGAGACCAAGAAATTTACAAGTCTGGATGTGTTCAAATTTGATGGACATCATAGTAACTTCATATAAAATATCTCTTACTCAGAAAAATAAATAAAAAATAAAAAATCTCAAGTTCAGTGTTACGGTTTAGTTGAAGACTTTGATACTGAACAGAACCATGAGAAATTAATCCAGTCTCTAGGAGAGCTTTGGCAAGTTTAATCGTTTCAACAAGATTTGGGGTTTAACTGCTCTCACTTATGAAAAAAAAAACAGCTTTTTGAGAGAGGAAACCCTCTAGAAGTTCCCTTGTTCCTTCAAGCAGGCCACGAGTCCAGAATACTTGAAAAAGAAAGATAACATGATGATTTGATATGGTGCGAGTTTAATACCAACAACCCTATCCATTGGTGGTCCTAATTAAAAAAAAAAGGTGATGGCAAACAGACATGCCAAAATCAATCATACAAAAAAAGAACTACCAAAAAGAGATTTATATTCCAATCCCCCATTAGCTTGCCAACCATGGTGACTGTAGACGGTAGATACACAAAACCTAGAAAGAAAGGGGGAAAAAAGCACCGATGAATTGCAAAACCACACGCAATTTCTCACAGCAGTGAAACAGACCACTGATCTACAAAGATTGAAGCGTGCGAGCTGTGAATCAATTGGAAGTACACGATGTAGCATAGCGTAGCATAGCATAGCATAGCGCCATTCTACTCAAAACTACTACACACGATTTACTTCGATTCGAGCATGTGGGAAGTGGTAAAAGGAGATGGAAACTACAGAGGGTTTTAACCTGAACCCGACAACCAAACTCCACGCACACCACGCACGCATACGGAAGAAGGATCCGACCACTCCGCGGGCTGGGGGGCAGCAAAACCGGGGATTCCGGTAGGGAAGGGGAGCGCCGCAGTCGCAGATGAGAAGACTGGTGGCGGAACGCCGGAAAAAGCCGCGTCCGAAGGCCTCTGATCTTCTTGTGATGGGCTAGCTGGCAATCGCATAGTGGGGGCACCTCTCTCATTCTCGCTTTTCCTTTTTTTTTTATTTAAGAAAATAGATTTACTACTTCCTCCGTTCTAAAATATAATCATTTTTAGAATTCATAGCTAAAAGTTACTGTATTTTGAGACGGATATAGTCATTGAACGGATTATGCAACGGATAGGAGCATATACTTGCATATAGGAATAAATTAAATATTTTAAAAAATAAATTTAATAATGACTTCCTCTGTCCTAACATGGAGGATACTTCCAAATGAATCCTAGTAATATTTTGAGATAGATGAAGTAGTTTAAAATAAGTGATCCGGAAGAAAATGATCTGACACATATATTAAATATCTTAAAGGTGCTGGATTAGCTATCTTAGGCCTCCTCCAACAAGGATGAGTCAGCTAGCTCATAAATCTCCACATCAGCTTTTGTATGATGTAGAAGAGAGAGAAGATAAGGAGAGAGAGTGCACTATCTCTTCTTCAAGAGCTAAGCTCCTAAACAAAATATGAGAGGGGTTGTGGAACCCAAAGCATTTTGAACAATGTGCTATGAGACAACCTATTAAAAAGGTAGGCTTTTTGCTATCTCTTGTATGAGGTGGACAAGCATGAGCTAGTGCACTAGCTCAACCATTGAAGGAGGCCTTAAAGGTGCTAGATTAGCTGCTCTCCTAGCGATTTGGAGAGGCGCATCCAATACGGTGTGGACACGTTGTTTCGTTACAGTGGTCCTGCTACCATGGGCCAGCTGATTGTTTGGCCCAGCGACCGACGGCCTTTTACTGGCCATCGTGGCATCGGTGGCGCGGCCTTGCGTCGTCGTGGTTTGGCTGTATGCTCAGCCATCCGCGAGCCACCGCTACCGTCTTGACGCGTGCCCATTCTCCAACCCATGTCCGGCTAGGATTGAGCGAAGGCTGTGTTTCTCGTCCGCTCCGCTTCAGCGAATCGGCACCGCCGCGTGTCGGCCATCAGCGAGACAGCGACACCTCCAAGGCTCCAATGCCCAGCAGCCCCTCTCTCATCCATGGTAGTGCTCTGTCATGGTGTACGGGAATGACAGGGTTGGCTGCTCCACTAAAAATACGCGCGGAGACCCCCATGAGGAGCAGATCGAGGGTACCTGCATCGCTCCTTTCTTTCTTTCATTCGAAGCTGGTTCTGTTCCTTACTTCTTCCTCTTAGTTCCTGTTTTTTGTGGAGACGGTACTTTCCCTAGTCGCATCATCCCGTATGCTTTGATCTTTTTCAGTTGTGCTTCGCTCTGGATTTCACCATTGTGATGTCGATGTTCTTCTGACCATGCCTATGCTCATTGATTTTGATTTTTGTTTTCTGCCTTCTAGGTTGCGCGGCCAACCCTTACCGAGACGTGGTTTTACTGCTCGCCGAGCCATCCGCGTTGCCCCCTTCCACTTCTCGGCATCCGCTCGTCGTCGTCCTCTCCGCATCCGCATCTCTTCCCAATTTGTTTGTTCCCCTTTATGTTCTTCACTGTGGCTGCACGTACAACAAGCTTGAATAGCATCACATACTCCCCATCCCGTCCTCAGCATCGGCGTGCCGCATGGCATCGCAGCGTCGCCTTCTTCTTCGGCATCAAGGTCGACTCGGTGGCTCACTGCTAGCACAGATGGCGGGCGGGGAGTGGATCTTTCAATTCTTCCTCAGCGACTTGCCCGACGGTGTTGCTAGCTGACACAACCATTTCCTCAATGGCAGAAATCGGCGTACGGTCTACCTGTCCTCCTCCGGTACGGTTTCCCTTCTCTTATCTCTCATCTAGCATAAATTGAAGATAATGTTCTGAATTTAGGCTAAATTTATCAGATGTTTGTTTGGGAAGTTCGTTCAAAGATTCAGATAGAACCCAGCACATTTCCGAATATTGGTGCCTCCAGATTTCTCTCTCTATTTCTTTTTTAAATGTTGCCTTCTGATAATTCGAACTCTGCGCCAATTCCTCTTATGGAAAGAGAGTCGATGTGATGTCATGAGGCAAAACATGAACTGGTGAGCTTCCCTGAAACCTGTTGATTCCCTGGCAACATTGATGTTTTATTAGGATGAATTCTCACATTAATAGCTTCCTTCCATTAGGGCTTTCAATGTTCTAAACTTTTTTTTAGAGAAATCATGTTCTAAACTTTTGATTGGTGAAAGAAGTTACAATTACTAAGGAGCTCTCATCCTCTCCTGCGAATGAGATTCTATTCATTTTTCTGTTCCTGTACTTTAAGCATGTCAGTATGCCACTACTTCATTGTCCAAAACTGAGCTCCAAAGAAAGGTCAAAGTGGCCAGCTTAGGATTAAAACAAGTTTAGCAGAATCTTCTTACACAAATTATTTGGTGTTTTTCAGCATACAGGTAAACAGACGGCTAGACTTCATGATACATGCTAATGTTGGGAGGGGCAAGCCACTATGCTCAGCTCATGGATCTTCAGGAACGGAGCTGCCAGCATATTACTGACAAACAAATACAAGGTAAATAGGCAGAAGAGATCCTTCATGTGCTTTGCTCTCCGATGTTCTCCGTAGAGAAAAGAAAAGTTAATCATTTCAATTATTTATTTTTATTCATTAATTATATGTAATTAGTAAATTGTTGTGTTGTATATGTGTTACCATTTTGACAAAAAAAAGAGCACTCCGATTGATCATTTTCTGAACCATACAGGAAAAATACTCCATGCTTTTGTATGAGCTGTTCTTAGTCTCTTATAGAATGTGCTGTGGTCTTAATCTCTGAAGGCTGAGCTGTGTTAGATTGGAGCACTCCGATCCAACTCTTTTGCCCACCAAATCAACTTACCAATGCCTGTTAGATAGATCTCTCTCCCCTTGAGCCCAACGGCTCAAGGGGGCCTTGACCGCGCCCTGATCGGGGGCGCCCAGCCCAATGGCTGGTGGGCCCCCGTCACACTGCGCCATATAAAAGAGGGGTGGAGGCCGGCACGGCACATGGTACGAGATTCACCGCCGACGCCAACTCCACCCTACAAACCCTAATCCGATCGAGAGGGGGCGCAGCCAGTGACGGGAAGCGCCACCGCCGCGCCAGACCTCATCGCCGGGACATCTACGACCGTCACTCCCGCAGCCGTCATCGCCGTCGACCTCACCGGCGCCGCATCCACGACAACCGAGCGCCAACGACGACGATGGCCGGCACTTCTTCATCCTCCAACACCTCAACCGGTCGGTCTATCTAAACCCTCTCCCGTTTTCAATCTCTATAGTTCAAACATCAAACCCAAATAGAACCACCCGACTAGATCTAACCTAGGTGATCCTAGTGCAAAGTTTAACAATGGTATCAGAGCAACCCTAGTGTTTAGATCGTTTCGGGGAAAGAAATCCAAAGAAAGAAAAGCACAAGATCCGCACGGATCAAAAGAACCAAAAACCCTAACCCTAATTCTTACCTCGTCGCCGGCCGTCGTTGACGCCGGCAACGGAGGGGGGGAGGGGCAAAGAGGCGCCGCCTAGGAGCCACTCGACGGCCGCGCGCGCACCTGCACGCGCGTGCCGGCGAGGGGGCCCGCGGCGGCGCCGCCATCTCCGTCGTCGCCATCTCTCTCTCACACGGTGGGGGTTAGAGACGGTGGGGGGAGCGGAGAAGAGAAAAGAAAGGAGCGCCGGCCATGGCGCGGCGGCGCGAAGGTCGCCGGCGATGGCGACGCCGTCCACGCGGTCGCGTGAGAGAGAGAAGAGAAGAGAAGCTAGGGTTTTCGGCGGCCGGCCGGGAGAGGGGGGTTTTTGATCCTCCGATCTCGGCGCCCGGCCGTCCGATCGAAACCCTAGCTGATCGGACGGCCGGCGGCGGCCGGACCGAAATCGGCCCAAGTGGGGAGCGCGCGGCGGCGGCTTTCCCGGCCCAGGCCCAGGTTGCGGCCTGGGGGAGGGGAGGGGGCGCTTGCCCGCGCGCAAAGTGGCCATAGGCCGACCGGCAAAGGCCGGAAAAGTTCAATTTAGGTCCCTCGGGGCCGAAAATGAATAAAAGAGAACAGTAGCAATTTTTCCATTTTATTTTGTCGATTTTTCATGCAAATTTCAATAGAATTTTGAATAGATTTTTGCATGTTTTACCTCTGTTTAAATTTGAACCAACGGGAGAATTTTCACAGAGAGAGAATTACAGAGATTTTGCTACTGTTCATATGATTTTATATAGTCTTCCGCTGCAAATAGATGAAATTGATGAAAATTAGTGTTTCTAAAATTAAATTTCGAACCAACGGGAGAATTTAATTTTAGGAACATTAATTATGTGCTATGATGTTGTAATTTTCTGACCAACGTTGTTAATTGCAATATTATAGTTATGGTTATATGTGTTATGTCTAATTCTGCCCAACGGTGATGTAGGCTTAATGCATAATATTTTAATGTTAATTTTGTTCTCACCGCACATGATTATTTCAGGTGGCTACTCCTTGATGGGTTGCATTAAAGATATTCCGACCCTAAAAGGAGATAACTACGCAGAATGGAAAAGAAAACTCGACCTTGCTTTTATCTTGGGAGAGGTGGACTGGGTATTGACTACCCCATGTCCTATAGAACCTGCTGACCTTGTCAGAGGTGAAAATGAGTCAGATGCTGACTGGCAAAAGAGACAGAGGGACAATGCTCCTCTCGTCATGTCGTATGACATTGAACAAAAGAAATGGTCCTTAGCCAACAAGAAATGTTTGGCTGTGGTAAAGAATACGATTGAGCCTACCATATTGGGCTCGATCCCAGAGTGTGACGCTGTCTCAGAGTACCTTGAAAGAATAAAGAGTCAGTTTACTGGCTCTTCAAAGACTTATGCTACACAGCTGATCAAGCAGCTTGTGACAGAAAGGTACAATGGAGGTGGTGTTAGAGACCACATACTTAGAATGAGCAACATGGCTTCCAAGTTGAAGCCAATGGATTTGGGCATAACAGATGACTTTCTGGTCCATCTGGTTATGGCCTCATTGCCAAAGCAGTTTGACAATTTTATTGTCAACTACAACATAAGTCCAGAGAAATGGAACTTTGAGAAGCTCATTGCTAATTGTGTGCAAGAGGAGGAGAGAATCAAAGAATCAAATGGTGGTTCAATAAACTATGTTAAAGATAAGAAAAAGAACCACAAGTCTCCCACCTCAAAAGGTAAACAGTCTCAGCATCTGCCTCAGCAACAACAGTTCGCTGTTGAGAAAGATCAATGTCTCCACTGCAAGAAGACAGGACACTACAAGAAAGATTGTCCTGATTTTTTGAAAATGATCATGGCAAAGAAAGGTGAGAACATTATTACATTTGTAAATGAATCTCATTATGTTGGTTACTCTAGATCCACATGGTGGATTGATTCTGGAGCAACTATTCATGCTTGTAATTGTTTAAAGGCATTCCGTTCGACGAGGACTACGCAAAGAAGAGAAAGCACCATTAGAGTTGCCAATGGAGTTGAAGAAAAAGTTGAAGCTGTTGGAGATCTTCCTCTAGAGCTCGCGAATGGCTTCATACTTTTACTTCGAGATGTCTTTTATGTTCCTTCTTTGCAAAGAAACTTAATAAGTGTATCAAAGTTGGATTTTGATGGATATGATTGCCGCTTTGGAAGTGGCAAATGTGAACTATGGCATAATAATGCATGTATTGGTCTTGCTGTGTTGCGAGACGAGCTTTATTTGTTATCTCTTTCTGAGAATGTGAATGTTGTGTCCTCGTTGACAAAAGAAAACAAGAAAAGAAAGCGAACTCCCGATGTCTCATCGAAATTATGGCACTGTCGTTTGGGCCATATTTCGAGGGGGAGAATTGAGAGACTAGTTAAGAATGAAATTCTTCCTCCATTGGAGTTCTCAGACTTAGAACAATGCATAGAATGCATTAAAGGAAAATTTGTAAAGAGCATCAAAAAGGGTGCAAAACGAAGCGCAGGAATTTTAGAGATCATTCATACAGATATTTGTGGTCCATTTCCTGTGAAAAGTGTGGATGGCTATGACTCGTTCATAACATTCACAGATGATTACTCCCGCTATGGTTATATTTATCCAATTAAAGAGCGATCAGAAGCATTGGATAAATTTAAGATATTCAAAGCTGAAGTTGAAAATCAGCATGATATAAAGATTAAAGTAGTAAGATCTGACCGTGGGGGGGAGTACTATGGTCGACATACGCCTTATGGGCAAGTCCCTGGACCTTTTGCAAGGTTCTTGCTAGAGAATGGAATAGTAGCCCAGTATTCAACACCGGGCGAACCTCAACAGAATGGGGTAGCTGAAAGGCGCAACCGTACCCTTATGGATATGGTGCGCAGCATGATGAGCTACTCCACACTACCACTCGGTTTATGGATGGAGGCGTTAAAAACCGCCATTCATATTCTCAACAGAGTTCCAAGCAAATCGGTGCCCAAAACACCGTATGAGCTATGGACAGGAAGAGTACCCTCGCTAACTCACCTCCGTGTGTGGGGGAGTCCTGCAGAGGCCAAAGTATTTAACCCAAATATTGGGAAGTTGGACCCCAAAACAGTCAGTTGCCATTTTATTGGCTATCCTGAAAGATCAAAGGCTATCGTTTCTACTGTCCAAACAGTTATACAAAGTTTGTAGAAACGAGACACGCCGTCTTCTTGGAAGACGAAATGATTAGGGGGAGCTCGGTAGTTCGAGAAATTGATCTTGAGGAGAGGCGGGTGTCTGTACCCGCTCCGTCGACTCAGGAACCTTTCTTCTCTCTACCTGCTGATGTTGTGCCTGCAATGCCTGTCATTGAGGTACCAGCACCTGTTGTTACCCCTCCTGTGGCAACAATGAATGAGAGTGAGGAACCTGTTATACAGGATTCAACAGAAATGGTTGCCACGCCAGAGGAGGAGCTACAACAGCCTCAAATAGATAATGTGCCAGTACAGGAGACTCATCAAGAGCCTCAGGTACAGGATGTGCCAAATGTGCAGGCCCCTAGAAGGTCTGAAAGAGTCAGAAGATCGGCTATCCGTGATGACTATAAAGTTTATAATATAGAAGAGTCGCATATGGAGGATGATCCCACCTCATATGAAGAGGCCATGAGAAGCGCTCGCTCATCTGAATGGTTGGAAGCCATGAAAGATGAAATGGAATCAATGAAACTAAACGATGTTTGGGATTTAGAAGAAATTCCTAAAGGAGCCAAAACAGTAGGCTGTAAATGGGTCTACAAAACCAAATATGACTCCAGAGGGAATATAGAAAAGTTTAAAGCGCGACTTGTGGCAAAAGGCTTCACGCAACGAGAAGGGATTGATTACAATGAGACATTTTCTCCAGTCTCTTTAAAGATTCCTTCAGGATTATAATGGCACTAGTGGCACATTATGATTTGGAATTACATCAGATGGATGTAAAAACGGCATTTCTAAATGGAGATTTGGAGGAAAAAGTATACATGGCGCAACCAAAAGGTTTTGTCATGAAAGGAAACGAAAATATGGGATGTCGTCTAAAGAGATCCATTTATGGATTAAAGCAAGCTTCGAGACAGTGGTACTTGAAGTTTGATGGGACAATAAAGAAATTTGGGTTTCAAGAGAATGTCGAGGACAACTGTATTTATTCAAAGTTTAAGAATGGGAGATTTATTTTCCTAATTCTGTATGTGGATGACATTCTACTGGCTAGTAGTGATGTCAGTCTACTGCAGGAAACAAAGAAATTCTTGTCCTCAAACTTTGACATGAAAGACCTCGGTGAGGCTTCATATGTTTTGGGCATAGAGATTCACCGAGATAGAACAAAGTATGCATTGGGACTTTCTCAAAAGACATATATAGAAAAGGTGTTGAAGAAATTCAACATGTACAGATGCAGTGCTACACCTGCTCCTATAATGAAAGGCGAAAAGTATGGGGCATCGCAATGTCCCAGAAATCAGTATGAGCTCAATGAAATGAAAACAAAGCCATATGCGTCAGCTGTAGGAAGCCTACAGTACGCGCAAGTGTGCACACGACCTGACTTGGCATTTGTTACCGGGTTACTTGGCAGATTTCAGAGTAATCCAGGCCTAGAGCACTGGAAATTGGTAAAGAAAGTCTTGCGTTATTTGCAAGGAACAAAAGGCCTCATGCTGTCTTACAGAAGATCAGAATCCCTCCAGATAGTGGGGTACTCAGATTCTGACTTTGCAAAAGATAATACAAAGTCAACATCGGGATACGTGTTTACCCTGGCAGGAGGAGCTATTTCATGGAAAAGCTCAAAACAGACTATCACTGCAGGGTCTACTATGTATGCCGAGTTTATAGCATGCTATGAGGCAACGGGGCAGGTGAACTGGCTAAAGAAGTTCATACCCGGTTTAAAGGTGGTTGACAGTATTGAGAAACCACTAAAGTTATACTGCGACAACGAACCCGCAGTAATGTACACTCACAACAATCAGTCAAGTGGTGCTTGCCAAACACATTGACATAAAGTACTATGTTGTGAAGGACAAAGTCCGGGATCAAACAATCAGTCTCGAGCACATTAAAACAGAAAGGATGCTCGCGGATCCGCTCACGAAAGGCCTACCACCCAACGTGTTCAAGGAACATGTAGCCGGCATGGGTTTAAGGGAAGCCTTATGAATCCTGGACTACAGGGCCCAAAAGTAAAGTATCTGTTTCTGAATAGAGATGTGTATAGTGGCTGTCGAATCCATCGGCGATTGACCGTGACGATGAAACATGCTCTATTTACAAATCTGTGATGGAATAGAAAAAGCTAAAAGAAAAAGTGAGATCAAGGGGGAGAATGTTAGATAGATCTCTCTCCCCTTGAGCCCAACGGCTCAAGAGGGCCTTGACCGCGCCCTGATCGGGGGCGCCCAGCCCAATGGCTGGTGGGCCCCCGTCACACTGCGCCATATAAAAGAGGGGTGGAGGCCGGCACGGCACATGGTACGAGATTCACCGCCGCCGCCAACTCCACCCTACAAACCCTAATCCGATCGAGAGGGGGCGCAGCCAGTGACGGGAAGCGCCACCGCCGCGCCAGACCTCATCGCCGGGACATCTACGACCGTCACTCCCGCAGCCGTCATCGCCGTCGACCTCACCGGCGCCGCATCCACGACAACCGAGCGCCAACGACGACGATGGCCGGCACTTCTTCATCCTCCAACACCTCAACCGGTCGGTCTATCTAAACCCTCTCCCGTTTTCAATCTCTATAGTTCAAACATCAAACCCAAATAGAACCACCCGACTAGATCTAACCTAGGTGATCCTAGTGCAAAGTTTAACAATGCCAAGCCAATTGAGTGCAGCAAAGCACAAACAATATGGTCTTTATAGCCTGTGCAGATATAGCTCTTCCATTGGTGTGTTCTGCCACCACATCACTTCCAAAGTTGTTTCCAAGCTAAAAATCATGCTGCAGTGGTGGTTCAATCCCACACTTGAATAATTGGTGTTTCCTGCACTGATGTAGTAGTGACTGCCTTTTCTCACTTGCATAATTGATGTACTTCGCTCACTTTTTTATCTTAACATATTTCATAATATCATATAGATTCTCCTCAAGGACTGCGACAAGATTGAAGCTCATGCTTAGCAGGAAAACCATTTTTTTTTTACGGAAAGCAGGAAAACCATTTGAAATACCTATGGAAATATCCCTACACATGTGTTAACCATGATGATCTTTTTCTTTTCGAAATACTGTAAGGCAGGTATATCCATCATCTTTGTCATCTACAACTGCCTTAGCTATACAAATATTCAACTCTCAAAGTAGTTTGGTAGCTAATTAATCAGACAGGTGATGTAAATGTATACATCGTCCATTGATTCACAGTGGATACTCAGTTGTTGCATTTAAATGTCTCTTTTCAGGAACCATAAGTTCATTTACATGGCTATTTTAAGAGTCCACTGCTCTGATTAGTAACATAACACTGACTGAAATGAGGATCTGTTCATTAATTTGAGTTTCTTCTACTGACTCAGTAACATCTCTCCATGTGCTGACTTAATTCTCCAAACTTTGAGTTCTACTGACTTAGTAACATCTCTCAATATGCTAAGTTAATTCTCCAAACTATTAACTTAGGAATGATTTAACTTGGCACATATTTTCTTAGTGTTCAAGAAATGATTTTAGCAGATGCTTGCCATTGCACCTGGTGATCTAAGTTGACTGAATTGCTGAGGCGGATATGTTTCTTGAACAGAAAGTTCTCATAGTGAAGTGTCAAGTCTCTTCTTAAAACTAATGAATCTGAAATATGTAGTCGGTCTTTCATACCATAGTTGATAAATGCAATACTATTGTCTCATCTGACTGGGTTTTTGGCCAGTTCTAGAGTTTACAGATATTATCTTAATACTGCAGTCCTCGCAAACAAAACTACGAGAAATTTAACCATGTTCCATTTTCAGTTAGTTGACATAACGAACTGCATCTTGTGCCCATTGATATTGGATGAGTCATACTATGCTTGCCACCCCTGCTATGTATTGTGAAATTATTGTTTAAATTATTAACTATCAGGAACTGTTTCTGGCGACTTCAGTTATTAAAAAAAAAACTATACAGGTTAAATAATGTTCTTAGTAGGTACACAAGGAATTGACTGTTGTTGTTAGGTAATCCTCTTAGACAAACCTTGCAATCGTACATTTCTTTCTGTGCGTTACAGTCTTACATGCTACAATACCGCGCAGCGTAGCGCGCGAGCTCACTCTAGTAATCTAAAAAGAGTATGGCCTAGTCCGTTAACCATAGTGCATCTTGAAATCGATTGGAAGAAGGAAAAAAAAAAGGCATAGTCCGTTCATTTCTCATTGTGATACAGTGATACTGATTTTACCTCATTTTTATTAGCATGTTTTTCAAACTACTAGACAGTGCATTTTGTGCAACTTTCTTATATAGAAGTTGTTTTAAATTATTAGATAAATTATTTTTTAATATTTGAAGTAATAAACCTCAATTAATCATGTACCTGCAGTTAATCTTCGTCCACCGCAAGTTCTGTGGTTCTGTGGAATATATTCCAAGTTTGCAACTGAAAAACTTCATGAGCACTGACTGCATTTGCACTGCAGTTCAGTGGATGCATCGACGGAGAATGAATACGCATTCCATGACAGAACTAAAACGCAGGGAAATACAGAGTTACAAATCATATGGCACGAACCGATACACATTTCGTGGCATAACCATCATTTTGATGCAGGAGCCAGCAGCGAAGTTCTGCCGGGCAAAAGTAGTACACCATTTTGGAACCCACGGTTGCATACAAAGTTACTCCAGAAAATACATTGCAATGCAGTTAATATTGCTCAAATCAGCTACAACAGAAAGAAAACACATGATGCATGCGTGTTCTCTTCTGCTCACAGCGCACTAGCGCAGTGCCACTCTCCTTCCTACTGTACAAGTTACAAGAAGCAAGCGGCCTCATCAGCTTCAGCCAAATGATATCCCCAATGCTGATCGATTATCATCACATCATGATGGCCACAGCAACTTCAGCCATAGCTCAGCCTGGAATCGAAGGACCGGGCTTGTGTGTGCCGTCTTGGTATTCCGATCTCGCAAGCATTTACCCTTGAAGCGAACCTCAGTGAACAAATCGTCTCCCCAACGGATGATGCCTCCGGAGAAATGTTGACAAACATCAGCGTTTTGGAATCACCTCCAAGGCAAGGCTGCAATAGAAAGTTGATATAAGAAATATGTTTCAAATAAATTCAGGGATTGCAGGTTTTTGTATTACCATCCATTTGCACAAGTCACTCACCTGCAAAAGGTATGTAAGTTTTGAGTTCCTGAAGGGCACATGATCGTCTCCTTTCGCAATTGCAAAGATAACATCGCTAAGAGCTGACAAGCTTTTATTGATTGCCTGAAACATAAAGAAAACAAACAGATAAGACAATGTGATTATCAAATAAGAATATTGTAAATTTGTGATGAACACACTCACCTGAGTTTCCTTCAAACGATCACCCGTGGAGCCACTTTTAGCAAGGCGTTCACTGCCAGCTAAATCAATCAAGTTAAGGACACCTTGGACTTGTTGCCCAGTGTTCTGCATTAAGATCAAAAGAAAATTAGTGACATACATTTGCTCAAGTTTCAGTGGTTCTGTTTAGTTAGCATGAAAATGAAAAAAAAAATATTGTGACCAGTTTGTAAAGTTTCAGCACTGTGATTAATATTCTAAAATATGGGTGAAGCGAGTACCTCATTTGATCCAGATATCTTCAGTGTGAAAACAAAATGGCTCCGGGAAGATTGTTCATTCATTTGGGTCCTACCCACAGACCTGGTTCAATGTGGTGAAAAAAAATTTAGACTCACTGTTGATATGTAGACTAGGTGGCTAACAGACACATGTGAATTCAGATAATAAGTGCTAGCTTGTATAAAAGGTAAACCCTCTTATGTTTCTGCTCTCTCTAATATATTTGAGTGATAGATGAGAGAATCATCTAGACATATCCAAAGCATTGCTATTTCAAATATAACATTAAACTGATAATGGTCAATACCCTTAGAGCAAACAGTTACAAGGCACAAGTGAATGATTAAAAATGAATAAAGCGTATTTACCTGCTTTGGGATGCTTTCGCTAGAAGAGAAGTTACGTCGGCGCTACTAAAAACATCAGCAACAGTAAGGTCAGTGACGGTTGTGTTCCCTTGTGGATCATGCTTTATGGTGTATTGTTTACTGGTAGACAGATCAAAGTTATTAGACCGACCAGGTGCTAACAAATCACGAATTGTCTCATTGTATATTTCCAACATTGATGCCTGCACATAGGAAAAACTCTCAGCAACACTACATAGAATGTACACTTCAGAATCTGCATTGCACTATGGATACTAACCTGCATACTGTACTTCCATCCTTGAGATTCAAGAGACTGACTTGTCTTAAAAATTTGCTCCAAAGAACGAGGTATGATGCCTTTCTGATCACGCCCTGGTGGACCCATCATTGTATAAGTTTTACCAGACCCTGTTTGACCATAAGCAAATATGCAAACCTGCATCATGCAAAAATAACTTAAGCATACCAAATTGACAAGTACTTCAAAACTGAAATAAACTAGAAACATCAGTCAGAGTTTCAAGATAATGGTGATTATACAAATGCAGAATGCAGGTGATATATACTAGAAACATCAATGTAAGATGTTCACGGCTTTTAGCATGTATTTGTGCTTATGTGGTGGTGCTGAAGAGATAAAATTTGGGGTGCCACCATATCAATTAAAACAACTTTCATTTGTTCTTGAAATAAAAAAAATAAAGTTAGGATATTTGAGTTATTAGAGACAGGAACCTCATGAACAGATTATTCACCAATACTTCATTGTTGTAGTGAAATATTCATACCTTGTACCCATCAAGTGCACTTTGAACTAGTTGTGACATTTCCACAAACACATCTTCTTGTGAAGCACCGTGATCGAAAACTTTGTCATATGAGAAGGAAAATCTCTGACCTACATCAACACAAAACAATAAAATGAAGTCTCCGATTAACTTTACCACTGAAAACTTAGTGGGGGAAACATAGTTTCTGTTTAGCTTCAACAATGAATATGATTTTACCTTGGTTCATCAAATCAATACCACGCCCGGCAGATTCAACTGATGTTGGATATGAAATAAGGGCTTCTTCTGCACCACTAGAATCGTTGTCTTGCAAAAGTGGTCGGACCCTACAAAACACTCTGATGTTTCCTTTAAGCTCCTGCAAATAGAAAGGCTAATCAGTAACAAGTAGCAATAGCAAGATGAAAAAATTTCAGTATTTACTCAAAAATTTCTTCTGTCAGTAAAATAGAGAAATTGTTTTTAGTAAGAAGTGCTAGTATGCTGAAACAATTACCAATATTGTATTGTGCAGTTTCTTTCGTAGCTTGTCAGCTTCAACAATTTGAAATTCTGCGGATGCCAAACGTTCTTCCAGATCTTTTATTATCACCTTTTGTTCTTCATATCCTGTCATCGCCTCAATTGCAGTAACATCAGCAAGCTGCAAAAGTAAACAATTAGATCAAATGTCATATAATCATATCTCACATGTAAATCAGCACTGACAAAATATTATTTCTAACCTTCAGTTTATTTGTTGCAACTGCAAGTTGTTTCTGCAAAGTTTGAATCTGTTCTTGTTGCATACTACATGTTTCCTGAGCAGAAGCATAATGGTGAGCCAAATAGTTGCGCACAGAAAGTATTGATTTGGTTAATCTGAAACCACTAACCTCAAAGGCTGACACTTTTACACTCAAGCTTTCACAGTCTTTTGTAGACTTGCCTGCTAGTTCCTTGTAATTAGCAAGCTCAGCACTCAAGGTATTTACTTGAGAAACAGACTGATCACGGTCTTCTCTAATTTGGTGTAGCTCAATTCTAAGGCAATCCACTTCTTTCATAAGTTGTTCTTTCATTCTAATGGCCTCTTGTTGAGAAGTCTAACAGAAATCAAAACAATTAAATGTTTAAGTGAAACAAGAACTATACTGCCCAAAAAAATTATCAATTCACGAAAAAACACAACTCACCCTAGAAGAATCCAAATGGTTCTTCATTGAATTGTTTAAATCTTTCAGAGAAGCCATTGTTTCCATCATGGCACTCTTCTCTTTTTGCAGTTTTGAGATGATGTCCCCACTCTTAGAGGCATCAGCTTGAAGATTACTGTTGTATTGCTGCAAGCTGGTGTTGTACTCCTGCAGTCTTTTGTTCGTGTCTTGGACCATTTTCAGCTAGTTCACAATTTCCATCCATCAGAAAGGAACATTATATATGACTCAAATTCATGTAAGACTAATAGAACATTTCTGAACACGTACTTGCTCACTAAACCGTTTTGCTTCATGGCTGACTCTTTCCAGGTCCACCGACAGCAAGTCGAGGGACGCCTCAGCCGATTCCCTTTGCTGCCTCTCCTTCTCGTAGGACTCCACAGCAAGCTGCCAGTTTAAAGGTCAACAAGTGTAAGCCGTGGCTGAAACCAATCACACAGGCACACAGCAACAGTACATAACTATGCAGCTTATTATGCGATAGATGAGTTCTAACCATCCTGTCGGCCTTCTCCTTGTTGAAGCTTTCCTCCAACGAATCGCACTGCCGCGTCAAGTTCAGGTGTGCAGCTTTCAGCTCTTCCAGATCACTGCTAAGCTGGGCCTCTGGAAGTACAGTACCCCAAGAACATAAATGACCAGAATAAACTCAGTCACTACGATGAGATGGTACTCTGATGACCAAACAGCACACATGAATGCTCAAAACCCAAAAGAGTACCATCTTGTTCTCTTGGTGTGATCAAATAAATACAAAAAAAAGAGAAGTGCATTCGAATTCATTACCCAACTTGGCGTGCTGGGCATTCTCTGCATCCATCGTACTACGGAGCTTCTCCTGCTCGACCAAGTAGCCGTCCTCCAACTCAATGTACCAGCGGATGCAAGCTCTCAGCTTCTTGATGTACTCACTCATCTGCTCAGTTCTCCCCTGCACAGGTCCAACCAAATTCAGGAAACCCGCCCCCCAAAAATTCTCAAACAGAACGAACGCCAAGAAATCCCCCAAAAGAACCCACCTTGTAGTCGGTCTTGCTCTTCCCCTTCATCTTCTCGGCGAGCAGCCGCTCCACATCCTCCCTCCCGGTGAACTCGATCACAGGCGCCGCCGGCCCAGCCCCGCCCTCGCCGCCGTCCACCGACGCCGTGTCGCTGTTCGTGCCACCGCCATTGTTGATTGCCGAGAGGACATTGCGGCGCGGGCCAGGCTTGACCCCCATCCCCCGCCGCGCGTTGCCCAAGTTCTCCTTCTTCTGCAACAACAACAACAACAACCACACCCCACAAATCGCAAGAACTAAGCTCCCATGAATCAACCCTCCCCCAAAATAGGCGATTTCTTTCCACAAAAGAGAGAAAATTACCGGGTAAGGGCTACGGGGCGTGAGGGAGGAGGCCATGAACTGGGATTAGTGGCAGGATTAGGGGTTATAGTTAGGGTTCTCTCCTCCTCAGTGGTGGCGGTGGGTGGGAGGAGGGGAGCTTTCTTGGGGCCGGATGGAGTGAGCTCGAAGGCACAAGAATCTCTCTCTCTCGTGGCTTACAAGCGCCGACAAAGCCGCGCTTTAGATCCGAAAAACCTCGAGAAAAAAACTGCGGAGCCGATGAAATTGGGGAAGGATTCGAAGTTTTTGAAGCCACCGAGCGGAGATTACCCTCGATTTTTCATGGATTTCTCGCCTCGCTCGGATCTGAGCGAGAGATGTGTGGGAGAAGAGAGAGAGAGAGGAAGGAGAAGAAGAGGACGAGGCGGCCGAGCTATTTCGAAATATTTTGAACGCTGACGCATCAGGGGTACCCACCCCACCCCTCCGATTTCGATTTATTTACACCCAATGCCACTGGTGTTAGTTTAAAGCCCAAGCCGGCGGTGACCAGGTCTAAGTGGCTGGCCGGCTCGGGCAGGGTCATTCGCGTAATATGATTGGTTAGTCAGGGGTATTTTCGGTATTTCTGTTGAACGGTCAACTTCGATGTTGTGGGCTTCGAGATTCGCGTCGCCTTGGGCCTTGCTGATAATGGGCCGGGCCGGGCCGGGGCATGTTGCGACGTTGCTCTCCTCGTTTTCTTTGTCCTTTTCGGGAATCAACAGCTTAGAGGTGCCACGTCTTGTTATTAAGCTTTTGACAGCTTTTTCTTCCTGAAATCTCAACGAATAGTTAAGCTAGCTTGTCAGTCACCTCGCGCACTGGAACCTGAGAATGATCGGACAATCGACGCGATGCTAATTAGAAATTTGCTGTTTGTTAGTATTAGTAAATTGGTGTCTCGTCTCGTCAAGTTGCGAGATTAGGTCTTAATTGCCTTGTGCCTTACCGGTTTAGGTTGCGTTCGGTAGAGCGTATTCAAATCTTATTTGTCTTACGCAATACGAGAAGATCATTAGTTTATAATTAATTAAATACTTAATTATTATAGTTTCTTTAAAAGACTATTTTAAAAATATATATAGAGAAGTTTTTTACAAACAGTATAAAAAGCGTGTCATCATAAGCCAACAGACAGTAACTGAAAAGAGCTTAGGCTCCCATTGGTTCCTCTATATAGAATTAACCGCTGTCAAAATTTAAATTTTAGAGTTTATTTTAATTTTTTTCATTGAACATATCTCTACTATTATAAAAATTTAAGATGTTTTTATCGGTATTTTGGTACGTCATATGTGTATACGTCAGTTTTTAAGTTTGTTTGCTTTTAAAAATATGTATCCGTATTTGATTCGGTTTTTAAAATCGTCCACTTTTGGTAATACAGAAGAAATCATATAAGAAATTTGTTTTAAAAAACTTGCATGCTAACTTGAGATGATTAGACTCCTAAATATAGCTCATGATTTTCTAAAAATATATAAAGCGAACTCTCACAGTGAATTTCATTTTAACTAAAACATATAACAATAATAAGATTAAAATCGACTTCACCCGTTGTAACGTACGGGCATTTTTTTCTAGTATATAGAAAAATTTAACCTATAAACTATTCTTTTCTAACGCGCCGTACGACGTATTTTCGACAATTGGCCCACAGACGAGGGCCTTAAAGATGGATTTGTGAAGGGGGTTTGGTGTAATGATGCTTGGCGTACGTTGTCAGCTAGCCATTTACTATTTCTGGTGCTTTATTAGTTGGGGGAAAAGAGCATGACCGCTGCTGTCCCCTCTCAAAGCTCCTGAGTTTTTTCGCCTTAAAACCACGTTTCGTCCTTGCCAAACGTGGTCCACTGAAGTGCCAGTGCTTTGTTGTTTGAGTAATCGAGTTATAATTGGTACAGTATCTGCGAGCTTAATACAGATGTCACCGCTGTTCTGGATTGCAATCCTGTTTTGATTAGGGAGTGTATTGATTACCTTGTACTCCTACATAATGGCACCGATAGTGGCCTAGCGATGCCCAGTGATGCGTTCTCTTGCAGTTCACGCAAAACGTGACAATGGTATAGTCGATGTTAGACCGGTGTACCTCTTGCCAAGATGTATGTACAGTAGAACGCCGTACCAGACTACCAGTTTCTGCTAGCTAAGCGTACGTTTCTGATTAATGATAGATTCTAGAAAAAGAAAACAGGTCCCATATCGATCAAGCGGGCTGATTTAATACTCCCTCCTTCTCAAAATGTTTCCGTTGACTTTTTTAAATATGTTTGTACATGACTCCATAGAACGATGACGACGACGTCTGTGCTGCAACCAGAAAAATACAAGAGAAGAAACAGAGGAAAATAATGGCCTTCGTTTTCTTTTTCAGAAAGCGGCTCGTAGTACTGTATTTTAGTATAATGTATGTACATGTCCCAGCCGACACTGCTGCGTATACACGGTAGCGGAAGATTGACGGATCGATCGGTCGCGGGAAGGTGACGCGGCGCGCGCATGTAAGCTCGGGCGTCGCTAGCTGCCGATCGATCGGTCGCCGTCGATCGCCGGAGCGGGGGCAGACACAGGGCGCTGCTGCGTGACGGCGACCCGGGGCATGATCGAGTCACTCGTTCGCTCGCCACCAAACCTGGCTTTGTCACGGACGGGGGCGTCGGAAAGGACCACGCGACCGTGGGGGAAGAGCAGAATGAATTATGTGCGCGCGCAGGGCGTGCCGCCGAAAACGACCGCGCAGCCGTCGCGCGTCGCCGCTTGCCGGTGCCGCGCGTGGCGGGTGGGTGGGGAGGAGACGCTGCGTGATGTCGCGCTTGCGCCCCCCGTCGCACGGTTGAGGTCGTGATTTTCGCGCGATCTCACGGAGAAGTCGTCGTGTCGTCTCCTACGTACGCGCGACGCCGGCGGGGGAAGCGCTGGTCCGGTGGGCCGGCTAGCCGCGAACGATTACTAGCCAACTGGGCCTCGTGGTTCGCGAGAGGAAGAAGGCCTTCTTTGTTTAGGCCTATGAGCTGGAAAGTCTAAGCTCTTAAGGTGTGTTTAGTTGAGCTCTGGCTTTGAAAAAAATATCTGTGGGCTGTAGTTTTCTTAAACGATTTTGCTATATCTCACTCGAAAATTTTTTTCTTATCTCTCACTCGATTTTCTCATTCAAATTTACAGTGCATTTTCTTGTAAGTTACAGTGTAATTTATGAAACTTACACTGTAACTTTTGTAAGTTACACTGTAATTTTTGAATCTTCACATGTAAATTTTAAATTTTGTATTGGATTTGGTCTTTTTCTTGAGGATATGGTAATTTAATGTTCATTATGGTGTTTCTTAATTGCTTTTTGCTTTTTATTATATCTATCGGATTTTAATATAAAGATTAAAAATCTGTGTGATACGATTATAAAAATCTTTCGAAAGATGTATAGGTACTCCCTTCTTAAAAGTAGCTGGGGAATATGTACGGTGGCTTTTGGAAAAGCTCATTTGGTTCAATAGCTGTGGCTTTTGAAATAACTAGTCCCGCTGACAGCGACCCCCACATGTCATACACACGTTGAAATAAAAGAAGAGGGAGAGATGGATATGGCAACGGCGGTGTCGTCGGCCTCAGCGGTGGCAGCGGCGTCTCGGCGAGGAGGAGCGGTAGCGGCGGTTCAGCGACGAAGAGGACGCACGGTGGTGAGGAGCGGTGGCGCCAGGAGGATGAGGCAGTGGTGACGCCACCGCTGTCGGCCACCTCACCACCTTCGTCTCCCACCTCCATGGCCGACGAGCGAAGGGTCGGCGGCGTCGGGAGGAGGAGGCGTCGGTCGGGGAAGGGCGGGAGCGGCGCTGGCGTCGCGTTGACCGGCGTCTGTTGAGGAAGGTCGGGGTCGGCATCGATCAGGGAAGGACGGGAGCTGCGCCGGCGTCGGGTTGGGCGTCGTCGGTTGGGGAAGGGCGGGGGCTGCGCCGACATCAGGTTGGGCGGCGTCGGTTGGGGAAGGGCGGGGGCGGCGCCGATGGCGGACACCCAATGCGCCCGATGGCCGACGCTCGCCCCATGAAGTCACGACTCGCGAGAAGGAGGAGACGAGGAAAAGAATATCGGACCGTTTTTTCATAATGGCAGAGGTGGGTAATTTTTCCCTCAAAAGCACTTGGAGCAAAAGCACTTATGCTTTTGGGTCCTTTGGTTGACTCTTGACTTTTGCAAAAGGAAAAGCAGGTTGAAAAGTCCAACCAAACACACCCCTAGTGTATATTTATAGTTAACTATTGTATAAATTAACTATTAGATTGACTATAGATTATTTGAAGCTTATAGTAGGCTCTTAACCTTATGAGCTGGAAAGTCTAAGCTTAACAAATATGCAGTTCTTTCGTTTGTACTCATCATCAAAAATTATGTTGAAGAAGTTTTTTTTTCTTACGCTAGATAGAGTTATGACCCTACTATTAAACTTAGTACTTCAATCCATTAGCCTATAAATCATATAAACTAAAAAGGCGACTTAAAAATCCAAGAAAAAATTCCCTAAATAAAGAGGCTCTAAGTATATTTTTCTTCCCTCATCTCTTGCTTCTAATTGAATTGTCTCCTTCAATAGTAAAATTCGGATATAATAAGTTTGATCACGGTTAATTTAACACATCAGTAGAAAATCGATTTTCAAACCATCAAAGGAGTCGATTTATACCGGTTTTTGAAGTTGGAGAGTGCGATATACCCGGTTTTGCGGTTGATTGATGCAATTTGACCGAGGTCTTTCAAATTAGACTTATTTTCTTTGCTAGAGGGAGGAAAAATGGGCCTTACTGGTCCAAATTTAGCTAGATTAATGGGCCGGACGTGTACTGTAACTGGCCAGCCCAGTCACTCGCATCGTCGACTACCTCTTGCCATCGGTTCTCCCGGGAAGTTTTGCGGCGGCCTAGGGTTTTAGCATTCTCACCTCAGCGGCGGCGGCGGCGGGGGACACCGGATTTTCCGCTCCGATGCCTCGTCAGCACGCGCCGGCGTTCACGCCGGAGGCGGCGTCGGCGTCGGCCACCGGCGGGGCCGGGGAGCGGCAGAGCCTCCCGGCGCTGCAGGCGAAGATGAAGCGCGACCCGGAGGGGTACGAGGAGGAGCTCCGCCAGCTGCGGCGCCACTTCGAGTCATCGGTGTTCCTCTTCCGGCAGCAGGCGGCACTGGCCTCCACGTCCTCGTCCGGCGGCGGAGGGGAGGTGGCCAAGGAGCTCGGCGACCTCGCGCTGTTCCTCGCCCACGTCGCGCCCTTCTACCCGGACGACCTCGCTGACTTGCCCGACCAGATTGGTGGCCTGCTTGACACCAACGCGCGCGCGCTGCCGTCCGGGCTCCGTGTGCACCTCGTGCAGGCGCTGATACTACTGGTGAATCGGAAGGTGACGCCTGTTTAGTTCATCTGTTCATTTCACATTAAGTTAAATTTTGTTCAAATCGTGTGGATTGGAACGGGATTATCGTATGACTGTAGAGTAAATTCTCCTCGTATACATTGCTTTTTGATGTTTAGATTGTTGATCTGGAGGACACAATGGAGTTATTTATGGAGCTTCAAGTTATAGGGGACCGGGCTGTCAAAAAACTAGCATTCTCACATATTGTACACAGTATCAGGAGAATGAATCAGACCCACAAGAATGAAGCCAGGAATCGTAAACTGCAAAACATCCTTTTCACATTCCTACAGGTTTGTGACATACCACTATACCACACTTGCACTGATTAGTATTATCGGGTTTAACATAGTGGCAAGAATACATTCATGATTCTCTTCCTACCTCGTTTAGTTATGCATCTTGCTTCGCTGTTTCCCAGGGCGAGGAAGAGTCGAGAGCAAAGAGGGCCTTTACTATTCTATGTGATCTTCACCGTCGGAGGGTCTGGTTTGATGACCGCACAGCAAATGCTATATGCAATGCTTGTTTCCATGGTTCTTCTAGGTACATACTGCCAGCATCTTTGTGTTTATTAATAGGTGTTGATCTAAAATATATCTTTTACATGCAGAATTATGATAGCCGCTATTTCATTCCTTCTTGGGTATGAAAACGTTGAGCAAGAAGATGATAGTGATGCATCCAGCAGTGAAGATGAAGCTCAAAACCCTCAAATTATTCTTAGTAAAGAGGATGTTTACAAGGTTATTTGAATTTTTACCATTATTTCGATTTATAGTGTTTTACATCTTTTTTCTGTTACGTGCCTTCTGATATAATGTATTTTATTGTCATATTACTTTCTCAGGCAAATCACAAGGGCACTGCTGCTACTAAGAAAAAGAAGAAAGCTAAATTGCAGCGTGTGATTCGTAGTATGAAAAGGCAACAACGTAAATCCACTGAGGACACTGGCTCCAATTATTATTCACCACTGACGTATTTAAAGGATCCTCAGGTGGGAAATGGTGTAATCCCATAATTGTTCAGAGTGTTATCATTTACATATTGACTGTTATATTGAAGCTTTCGTTTTTTGGCTGACAGGGTTTTGCTGAGAAGCTCTTCTCTCGGCTCCAGAAATGCAATGAGCGGTTTGAGGTTGGCCCCATTCCTTGTTCTGAAGATTCCTTGTTCTGTAAAGATTTAAAAAGTTATATATAATTGTCAGAACTATCATTACTTAGTACTTTTAGCTTTCTGCTGAAGTTTTATACATGAGTGTATATAGTTGGAACCAGCATTCAAGTAGGAGAATTGGAACCCAGATGTGCAATAGTTTATTTTTTAAACACAATGTCTGTTGTGAGTTCCATCCGATGGTTAAACGAAAATAAACGTTAATTCAAATTTAGAGAATGTTGGTTGGGTGCTTGCAGGTAAGGATGATGATGTTAAAGGTTATAGCGAGGACTATTGGGCTGCATCACTTGGTTTTGTTGAACTTCTATCCATATCTTCAAAGATACGTTCAGGTATGTTCTTAACTTGGCATGTGTTCTTCTTGTAGCAACCTTATGGTAGATATAATGTTTATCTATACTCTATACTAATATAAAAGATGGTAGTGGTGGTGGACCCACGGACTGTGAGTTGCGTATCTCTTAGCCCCCACATGCCATAGATCCCGTCGAAAGGAAAATATGACAATAGAATATTATGAAAATTTTCATCTTTACGAAATGACAGCAAAATTAGCATAATGATAATATAATAGACAATTAGAAAAAAAAACCGTTGCACCTCACGTGCATTATACTAGTTCATACTAGTTTTGATAATAAGTTTTCTACCTTTCTGTGATGCAGCCTCATCAACGAGATGTAACAACTTTACTTGCTGCAGCAGTACAGGCTTGCCATGATATGGTTGAAACACTTTTGCTCTTCTCCTATATTTCACTACTTATATCATTTCTTTTGCTTTGTCCAAATTCAGCTAAATTAATATGCTTCAATTTCAGGTGCCTCCTGATGCAGTTGAACCACTGTTTAAGCAGATAGTAAATCAATTTGTGCATGATCGTTCTCGCCCAGAGGTTTGCATAACACTCATCACATATCTAATATATTTAAGTATTTTCCAACTAACATGGCATATTTCTAACCAATCTCATTTTAGGCTATTGCTGTTGGCTTGAATGTTGTGCGAGAGATCTGCATGAGAATACCTTTGGTACTTACCTTGCTCAAATCTGTACTCTTGCTTTCTAGTGCTACTGACCTCTGACCAGACACCCCTTAAATTTGTGTGATGGATTCATTAAATTTTTATGGTGGTCATGTTTTGTTGTACCTAATTCCTGTGCCCTGGACATGCTCTAGTAGAAATTGTGATTTCATTTTTTTACTAGTCTTAAATGACTGGTTGCGTAGTCCAACTCCAAAGGATGTGATAGTCGATTGCTACAGGTTTTAAGCATATAAGTGTAACTTAATGAAGAATTGAAAAGGTATAAACATGGTTTTACCAGGCCACATTTAGTCTTGTGTAGCCTGACACGTTAGTCACTTATGCATGAGAAGTTGAGAACACACATGCAGGTTTGTATACTACATTACCACCTGAGGTACTGTGCGGGTTGTAAGATATTTAGGAAGATATTCTTGGTCTATTTATTTTATTCATCTAGCAGGCCTCTGTTAATCCTTCTGTTATACCTGCAGTTGATGAATGAAGATCTACTCCAGGACCTTGTTTTATACAAAAAGTCCCATGAAAAAGCTGTTTCCATTGCCGCTCGTTCTCTAATTACTTTATTCCGGGAGGTCAGTTCTTATCCTTTTGCATATTCTGTGATTTCTTTTTGTTCACTTCAGCTAAACCTTCTTTTGGTTTGGGTTCAGATCTGTCCTTCTCTGCTAGTCAAGAAAGATCGTGGGCGTCCTGCTGATCCGAAGGCTCGACCAAAAGCATTCGGCGAAGCAACTATCGCTTCTGATGTGCCTGGAGCTGAGTTGCTAGATGAAGATTTTTCATCAGAAGGGGAAGGCTCAGACGATGAGTCTGATGCTTTTGATTCTAATGATGAGAAAGAGTTGCAATCTGCTCGTGGTACTAAACAAAATTTGGATGGTTCGTCTGAAGCAAACAAGCTTGACACAGATGAAGGTATGAAAGAGGAAGATCAACTATCTGGGGATGAAGATGATACAGAGGAACTAGATGAGGATCAAGACATCTCTGACAATGATAGTGAAGAAAATGATGATGAGCTAGAATTGGACTCTGATATGGATGAGGAGAATGATGTATCTGAATCTGATGATGATGAGGAACTCAGTGAGAAATTGGATGATTCTGATGAAGGCTCTGATCAGGATGATGACAGTGACCAGGATGATAAGTCAAAAAACAGCAGTCGCAAGGCAAATAAGAGAAAGTTGAGTGATTATATAGGGCAACTTAATGCTGCAGATGCAAGCCTTCGAGCTCTGAAGAAGTTGGCAGGAGCCAAGAAGGCTGAAGCTTCGTGCGATGAAGCTGGTAAAATCTTATCTGATGAAGATTTTAAGCGTATTAAGGAGCTAAAGGTATGGGAGTTTTTTCCAGCTGTAGTTCATGCTGTGGAGCTTTCTTTTGGGAAAGAAAGTGAAGTTGTGTATATCTGACATTGTTATGAGTTTCAGGCAAAAAAAGAAGCAAAACTGGCTCTGGCACAACATGGACTCGGCAAGGGCCATGACACAAAATCAGTAACCTTTAAAATGCCTTCTTCTGATCAGCTTAGTCTGAAACGGGTTGACCCATCCAAGCTTGAGGTGCATTTTCTCTCTTCCCCTCCCGCATTGCACTCGTGCCAGCGCGCTCATGCACACACATCCACACTTTGCTTATATGAACATCTTCCTTTATGTAGGCTCACATAAAGAGAAAGCTTACGAAAGAGGAGAGATTAGAAATGGTGAAGGCTGGAAGAGAGGATAGAGGAAAATACCAAGCAAGAACAGCTGTGAAACAGAAAAAGGTATTCGTTTATATGATCCTCCTTTTTGGTGCTTATTTTGACCTATGTTGGCTATATGGCACAACCTTGTGAAATCTGATCATGAATTGTTCTTTCGTAGTTGCTTTTATTCCTTCTCTACTTATATGCTTCTCATTGCGTTTTAGACCGGTGGCTTGAGCAATAGGCAGAAACAACACAAGAAGAAAATGCCCCTCGCTGCAAGCAGAGCGAAGGCAGCGCGTTCTCGACAGGAGAAGAAAAAACTGCAAAAGCGCTCGGGAAAGCAATTCAGAGGACGGAAGGCGTGGAAATGAGGGATTTTTTGTACTTGCGTTTGCCAATTCTTGTGGTCTACTGGCCAAAATTTTGACTCCTTCAGTTAATGATTTTCGTATACAAATATGGTTTCACAAACCGTGTATCATCGATTTTTCAAGTGCTGGTGTATTCTTTTGTGAGTGGAGAGAATGAAGCCGGTATATCATCGCTCACAGTGGTTGCTCTATGAATTTGGACAGTACTCGTATCCAGAAGGTTCAGCATCACGTGTCCTCCTGGCCCAGTGTCTATACGTTGCAGTGACTCCAGCGAGAGCCACAATTACGATATGATAAATGCTGTCTCTGTTTCTGCTTTGATGAGACTGTTTCGATTAGGCCAGCAACCTCACCTCTCCTATATAGGCTGTGTTTATTTCAGCGTAAATTTTGGATTTTGGTTAAAATTAGAGATGATGTGGCTGAAAAGTTATGTGTATGACAGGTTGACGTGATGAAAAAGAATTGAAGTTTAGATCCAAACTTTGGATCTATACACACAGACGGATTCAGATCATGCGCAGTTATAGCTATTACTGCAACTTATATTCTGTGCTACAGTATTTATGCTACAGTACGATGAATAGTGCACCTCGCTGATCTGGACCGTTCCATCTACATCCGTTGATGAAAACTGGTACCGCCTAAATTGCAGTCCCAGTAGCGACTGCAGCTGATCCGGATTCAACACGGACATAGTACACCCTCTTGTTGCTTCGATGAGACTGGTCCTTAGCACAATCATCAAACCACTACCATTATATCAGTGCTTGGTGTTCTATTGGGTTAAGGAATTCTCGATCGTTCTCTGCTAGTAGGAAATCGAGCCGACTGACCAGCGATGTCGGCGGTTGAGAGGAAGACGGCGTGCGTCACCGGCGGCAACGGGTACATCGCTTCGGCGCTCATCAAGATGCTGCTGCAGAAGGGATGTGCTGTCAACACGACAGTCAGAAACCCCGGTGAGATTCTTCTTCTTCAGTTCATAATTTCGTGCATACTCGTGCATAGATTTGCAGTAGCATCAGTGGTTTTAACCTCGTTTTTCTTTTCTTTTTTTTTTTAAAAAGGAATTTGGTTTTAGCCTCTGAAACTGCTGCTACACATTGCAATTTTGAGTCGCAGAAAACATGGAGAAGAACTCCCACTTCAAGGACTTGCACGCACTTGGTCCCCTGGCGGTCTTCCGCGCCGACTTGGAGGAGGAAGGCAGCTTCGACGAGGCGGTCGCCGGCTGTGATTACGCCTTCCTCGTCGCTGCTCCGGTGAACCTCAAGTCAGAGAACCCTCAGGTATTACATAGCCGTCTACAACAATTTGATTAAGTTTATAGAAAATTTAATAATATTTATAACATCAAATTAGTTTCATTAAAAATAACTTTGAATGTATTTAGATGGTATGTTTGTTATATGTGAGAAATGTTCTGTATTTTTTTTATGAACTTATCATAATAAAACATAATTAGAAAAGAGTTAAATCATCTTATAGTATAAAACGGAGGAAGGGGAAACATATTTTAAGATTATCTTTATGGATTTAGCTAGATGGTGGTTGCCACTCCTCAAGTCTCTTATGGTTGCCAGGCCATTAATGATACTAAGTATTCCTCCATAAAAATGTCTCTTTGCACTTCACTCTTCATTGTTGGCTTATGCTTACATTTACAAGCTAACATTTAAAATTTAGAACTTAATTTTAAGTTTGATCTTTTTCTCATCATAGTTTATTTTTATTTACTAATAAGCGATTTAAATAAGCGAAACAATGCTACTTTCTGTTGCGATGACACAGACACATACACAGAATCACATACACGCACTCCTTCTGTCTCATAGAAACCAATCAGTACTAGATGTGACATATCCTAATACTATGAATCTGAATATATCTCTATCCAGATTCGTTATACTAAATGTATCATAATCAGTTATAGATTTTTTTTTTGTACGAAGGGAGTAGTTTTGTTTTTTACTTGGTCAGCCTGATGGTAATGACAGAAAGAACTGGTGGAAGCCGGTGTACGAGGCACTCTGAACGTGATGAGGTCGTGCGTGAGAGCCGGCACGGTGAGGCGCGTGGTCCTCACATCGTCGGCGGCCGCCGTCTCCGGCAGGCCGCTGCAAGGCGACGGCCATGTCCTCGACGAGTCGTCATGGTCCGACGTCGACTACCTCAGCTCACCAGCCAACAAGACATCTCCCGGAAAGGTACACACAAAATTACAGATTTTATTTAACACAGGTCAGTCAATCAGAGGCTCAGAGCCCATTAAATCGGCCACATGAGAACAGCTCCGTGTGCTGATGCAATCAGCGTTTACAATTTCGGTTCGAAATTTCCGGCAAGCATTTACTTCATCCAAATATTTCATATTTTTTTTAATTTAGAAAAAAATATTTAAATTCGGTCAAGATTTGTTTAAATTTCAAACTTTTTTGGGTCCCTGATAGATTTGTGCATATCGAAAATATTAAGACATGGATGCAATGCAGGCGTACTCGCTTTCGAAGGTTCTTTCAGAGAAGGAAGCGAGCAGGGTCGCGGAGGAGAACGGCATCAGCCTGGTGACCGTTTGCCCGGTGGTCACCGTTGGCCCGGCGCCGGCAGCGGAGGCCAAACCGTGCGTCGCCGCCGTCCTCTCCTTGCTCTCCGGTGATAACTAATCGAATCAAGAACCGGCCGGTCCATGGCAAATGCGGCAACGAAAAGCAATTCCTGTGAAATTTATTTGTTCATCTCTTGATTTTCTTTCAGGCGACCAGGAGATGATCAGCACCGTGAAGCTCATGGAGAAGGCCACCGGCGGGCTAATGCTGGTCCACGTCGACGACCTCTGCCGCGCCGAGATATTCCTCGCCGAGAAGCCGCCGCCGGCGGCGGCGGCGGCGGCGGCGGAGAGGTACATCTGCTGCGGCCTCAGCGCCACCATGCTGCAGCTCGCCCGCTTCCTGGCGGCCAAATACCCGGAGTACAATGTCGACGTCGCCGCGTAAGATCGAGCTGATCTCACTGAGTAATAATTCCCCATGCGTCTCCATGATCTTATCGAGAGCTCTGACGATGGTGAACTTTCATGCAGCCTCGGCGACCTCCCGGAGAAGCCGAGGATCCGCCTCTCGTCGGAGAAGCTCGCCGGAGAAGGGTTCGAGTTCAAGAACAGGACGCTGGACGAGATGTACGATGATGCCTTCTTGGAGTACGGTAGAGCCCTCGGGATTCTGCCATACTGATAACGATGTTGTTCCCCTCGTATATCATCTGTTTCTCTGGTGGTGATTGTTAGACTTTGCTCTAGGATCACCTAGGTTAGATCTAGTCGGGTGGTTCTATTTGGGTTTGATGAACGACATTGTAGATGAAAGGGAGAGGGTTTAGATACCGACCGGTTGAGGAGTTCGTGGAGGAAGAGGCGCCGGACATCGTCGTTGTCGTCGCGGCTTGACGTGGATGCGGCGCCGGTGAGGTCGACGGTGATGACGGCTGCGGCAGTGGTGGTCGTAGACGTCCCGGCGATGAGGCGTGGCGCGGCGGTGGCGTTTCCCGTCACTGGCTGCGCCCCCTCTCGATCGGATTAGGGTTTTGTGGGGTGGAGTTGGCGGCGGCGGTGAATCTCGTACCATGTGCCGTGCCGGCCTCCACCCCTCTTTTATATGGCGCAGTGTGACGGGGGCCCACCAGCCATTGGGCTGGGCGCCCCCGATCAGGGCGCGGTCAAGGCCCCCTTGAGCCGTTGGGCTCAAGGGGAGAGAGATCTATCTAACATTCTCCCCCTTGATCTCACTTTTTCTTTTAGCTTTTTCTATTCCATCACAGATTTGTAAATAGAGCATGTTTCATCGTCACGGTCAATCGCCGATGGATTCGACAGCCACTATACACATCTCTATTCAGAAACAGATACTTTACTTTTGGGCCCTGTAGTCCAGGATTCATAAGGCTTCCCTTAAACCCATGCCGGCTACATGTTCCTTGAACACGTTGGGTGGTAGGCCTTTCGTGAGCGGATCCGCGAGCATCCTTTCTGTTTTAATGTGCTCGAGACTGATTGTTTGATCCCGGACTTTGTCCTTCACAACATAGTACTTTATGTCAATGTGTTTGGCAGCACCACTTGACTGATTGTTGTGAGCGTACATTACTGCGGGTTCGTTGTCGCAGTATAACTTTAGTGGTTTCTCAATACTGTCAACCACCTTTAAACCGGGTATGAACTTCTTTAGCCAGTTCACCTGCCCCGTTGCCTCATAGCATGCTATAAACTCGGCATACATAGTAGACCCTGCAGTGATAGTCTGTTTTGAGCTTTTCCATGAAATAGCTCCTCCTGCCAGGGTAAACACGTATCCCGATGTTGACTTTGTATTATCTTTTGCAAAGTCAGAATCTGAGTACCCCACTATCTGGAGTGATTCTGATCTTCTGTAAGACAGCATGAGGCCTTTTGTTCCTTGCAAATAACGCAAGACTTTCTTTACCAATTTCCAGTGCTCTAGGCCTGGATTACTCTGAAATCTGCCAAGTAACCCGGTAACAAATGCCAAGTCAGGTCGTGTGCACACTTGCGCGTACTGTAGGCTTCCTACAGCTGACGCATATGGCTTTGTTTTCATTTCATTGAGCTCATACTGATTTCTGGGACATTGCGATGCCCCATACTTTTCGCCTTTCATTATAGGAGCAGGTGTAGCACTGCATCTGTACATGTTGAATTTCTTCAACACCTTTTCTATATATGTCTTTTGAGAAAGTCCCAATGCATACTTTGTTCTATCTCGGTGAATCTCTATGCCCAAAACATATGAAGCCTCACCGAGGTCTTTCATGTCAAAGTTTGAGGACAAGAATTTCTTTGTTTCCTGCAGTAGACTGACATCACTACTAGCCAGTAGAATGTCATCCACATACAGAATTAGGAAAATAAATCTCCCATTCTTAAACTTTGAATAAATACAGTTGTCCTCGACATTCTCTTGAAACCCAAATTTCTTTATTGTCCCATCAAACTTCAAGTACCACTGTCTCGAAGCTTGCTTTAATCCATAAATGGATCTCTTTAGACGACATCCCATATTTTCGTTTCCTTTCATGACAAAACCTTTCGGTTGTGCCATGTATACTTTTTCCTCCAAATCTCCATTTAGAAATGCCGTTTTTACATCCATCTGATGTAATTCCAAATCATAATGTGCCACTAGTGCCATTATAATCCTGAAGGAATCTTTACAAGAGACTGGAGAAAATGTCTCATTGTAATCAATCCCTTCTCGTTGCGTGAAGCCTTTTGCCACAAGTCGCGCTTTAAACTTTTCTATATTCCCTCTGGAGTCATATTTGGTTTTGTAGACCCATTTACAGCCTACTGTTTTGGCTCCTTTAGGAATTTCTTCTAAATCCCAAACATCGTTTAGTTTCATTGATTCCATTTCATCTTTCATGGCTTCCAACCATTCAGATGAGCGAGCGCTTCTCATGGCCTCTTCATATGAGGTGGGATCATCCTCCATATGCGACTCTTCTATATTATAAACTTTATAGTCATCACGGATAGCCGATCTTCTGACTCTTTCAGACCTTCTAGGGGCCTGCACATTTGGCACATCCTGTACCTGAGGCTCTTGATGAGTCTCCTGTACTGGCACATTATCTATTTGAGGTTGTTGTAGCTCCTCCTCTGGTGTGGCAACCATTTCTGTTGAATCCTGTATAACAGGTTCCTCACTCTCATTCATTGTTGCCACAGGAGGGGTAACAACAGGTGCTGGTACCTCAATGACAGGCATTGCAGGCACAACATCAGCAGGTAGAGAGAAGAAAGGTTCCTGAGTCGACGGAGCGGGTACAGACACCCGCCTCTCCTCAAGATCAATTTCTCGAACTACCGAGCTCCCCCTAATCATTTCGTCTTCCAAGAAGACGGCGTGTCTCGTTTCTACAAACTTTGTATAACTGTTTGGACAGTAGAAACGATAGCCTTTTGATCTTTCAGGATAGCCAATAAAATGGCAGCTGACTGTTTTGGGGTCCAACTTCCCAATATTTGGGTTAAATACTTTGGCCTCTGCAGGACTCCCCCACACACGGAGGTGAGTTAGCGAGGGTACTCTTCCTGTCCATAGCTCATACGGTGTTTTGGGCACCGATTTGCTTGGAACTCTGTTGAGAATATGAATGGCGGTTTTTAACGCCTCCATCCATAAACCGAGTGGTAGTGTGGAGTAGCTCATCATGCTGCGCACCATATCCATAAGGGTACGGTTGCGCCTTTCAGCTACCCCATTCTGTTGAGGTTCGCCCGGTGTTGAATACTGGGCTACTATTCCATTCTCTAGCAAGAACCTTGCAAAAGGTCCAGGGACTTGCCCATAAGGCGTATGTCGACCATAGTACTCCCCCCCACGGTCAGATCTTACTACTTTAATCTTTATATCATGCTGATTTTCAACTTCAGCTTTGAATATCTTAAATTTATCCAATGCTTCTGATCGCTCTTTAATTGGATAAATATAACCATAGCGGGAGTAATCATCTGTGAATGTTATGAACGAGTCATAGCCATCCACACTTTTCACAGGAAATGGACCACAAATATCTGTATGAATGATCTCTAAAATTCCTGCGCTTCGTTTTGCACCCTTTTTGATGCTCTTTACAAATTTTCCTTTAATGCATTCTATGCATTGTTCTAAGTCTGAGAACTCCAATGGAGGAAGAATTTCATTCTTAACTAGTCTCTCAATTCTCCCCCTCGAAATATGGCCCAAACGACAGTGCCATAATTTCGATGAGACATCGGGAGTTCGCTTTCTTTTCTTGTTTTCTTTTGTCAACGAGGACACAACATTCACATTCTCAGAAAGAGATAACAAATAAAGCTCGTCTCGCAACACAGCAAGACCAATACATGCATTATTATGCCATAGTTCACATTTGCCACTTCCAAAGCGGCAATCATATCCATCAAAATCCAACTTTGATACACTTATTAAGTTTCTTTGCAAAGAAGGAACATAAAAGACATCTCGAAGTAAAAGTATGAAGCCATTCGCGAGCTCTAGAGGAAGATCTCCAACAGCTTCAACTTTTTCTTCAACTCCATTGGCAACTCTAATGGTGCTTTCTCTTCTTTGCGTAGTCCTCGTCGAACGGAATGCCTTTAAACAATTACAAGCATGAATAGTTGCTCCAGAATCAATCCACCATGTGGATCTAGAGTAACCAACATAATGAGATTCATTTACAAATGTAATAATGTTCTCACCTTTCTTTGCCATGATCATTTTCAAAAAGTCAGGACAATCTTTCTTGTAGTGTCCTGTCTTCTTGCAGTGGAGACATTGATCTTTCTCAACAGCGAACTGTTGTTGTTGAGGCAGATGCTGAGACTGTTTACCTTTTGAGGTGGGAGACTTGTGGTTCTTTTTCTTATCTTTAACATAGTTTATTGAACCACCATTTGATTCTTTGATTCTCTCCTCCTCTTGCACACAATTAGCAATGAGCTTCTCAAAGTTCCATTTCTCTGGACTTATGTTGTAGTTGACAATAAAATTGTCAAACTGCTTTGGCAATGAGGCCATAACCAGATGGACCAGAAAGTCATCTGTTATGCCCAAATCCATTGGCTTCAATTTGGAAGCCATGTTGCTCATTCTAAGTATGTGGTCTCTAACACCACCTCCATGGTACCTTTCTGTCACAAGCTGCTTGATCAGCTGTGTAGCATAAGTCTTTGAAGAGCCAGTAAACTGACTCTTTATTCTTTCAAGGTACTCTGAGACAGCGTCACACTCTGGGATCGAGCCCAATATGGTAGGCTCAATCGTATTCTTTACCACAGCCAAACATTTCTTGTTGGCTAAGGACCATTTCTTTTGTTCAATGTCATACGACATGACGAGAGGAGCATTGTCCCTCTGTCTCTTTTGCCAGTCAGCATCTGACTCATTTTCACCTCTGACAAGGTCAGCAGGTTCTATAGGACATGGGGTAGTCAATACCCAGTCCACCTCTCCCAAGATAAAAGCAAGGTCGAGTTTTCTTTTCCATTCTGCGTAGTTATCTCCTTTTAGGGTCGGAATATCTTTAATGCAACCCATCAAGGAGTAGCCACCTGAAATAATCATGTGCGGTGAGAACAAAATTAACATTAAAATATTATGCATTAAGCCTACATCACCGTTGGGCAGAATTAGACATAACACATATAACCATAACTATAATATTGCAATTAACAACGTTGGTCAGAAAATTACAACATCATAGCACATAATTAATGTTCCTAAAATTAAATTCTCCCGTTGGTTCGAAATTTAATTTTAGAAACACTAATTTTCATCAATTTCATCTATTTGCAGCGGAAGACTATATAAAATCATATGAACAGTAGCTAAATCTCTGTAATTCTCTCTCTGTGAAAATTCTCCCGTTGGTTCAAATTTAAACAGAGGTAAAACATGCAAAAATCTATTCAAAATTCTATTGAAATTTGCATGAAAATTGACAAAATAAAATGGAAAAATTGCTACTGTTCTCTTTTATTCATTTTCGGCCCCGGAGGGACCTTATATGGACTTTGTTCCGGCCTTTGCCGGTCGGCCCATGGCCACCTTGCGCGCGGGCGAGCGCCCCCTCCCCTCCCCCAGGCCGCAACCTGGGCCTGGGCCGGGAAAGCCGCCGCCGCGCGCTCCCCACTTGGGCCGATTTCGGTCCGGCCGCCGCCGGACGTCCGATCTTAGGGTTTGCGATCGGACGGCCGGGCGCCGAAAACGGGGATCAAAACCCCTCGTGCCCCGGCCGGCCGCCGAAACCCTAGCTTCTCCTCTCTTTCTCTCTCTCGGGCGGGCGCGGTCGCGCCGAGCGGCGTCGCCGACGCCGGCGGCCCTCGCGCCGCCGCGCCATGGCCGGCGCTCCTTTCTTTTCTCTTCTCCGCTCCCCCCACCGTCTCTAACCCCCACCGTGTGAGAGAGAGATGGCGACGACGGAGATGGCGGCGCCGCCGCGGGCCCCCTCGCCGGCACGCGCGTGCAGGTGCGCGCGCGGCCGTCGAGTGGCTCCTAGGCGGCGCCTCTTTGCCCCTCCCCCCCTCCGTTGCCGGCGTCGACGACGGCCGGCGACGAGGTAAGAATTAGGGTTAGGGTTTTTGGTTCTTTTGATCCGTGCGGATCTTGTGCTTTTCTTTCTTTGGATTTCTTTCCCCGAAACGATCTAAACACTAGGGTTGCTCTGATACCATTGTTAGACTTTGCTCTAGGATCACCTAGGTTAGATCTAGTCGGGTGGTTCTATTTGGGTTTGATGAACGACATTGTAGATGAAAGGGAGAGGGTTTAGATACCGACCGGTTGAGGAGTTCGTGGAGGAAGAGGCGCCGGACATCGTCGTTGTCGTCGCGGCTTGACGTGGATGCGGCGCCGGTGAGGTCGACGGTGATGACGGCTGCGGCAGTGGTGGTCGTAGACGTCCCGGCGATGAGGCGTGGCGCGGCGGTGGCGTTTCCCGTCACTGGCTGCGCCCCCTCTCGATCGGATTAGGGTTTTGTGGGGTGGAGTTGGCGGCGGCGGTGAATCTCGTACCATGTGCCGTGCCGGCCTCCACCCCTCTTTTATATGGCGCAGTGTGACGGGGGCCCACCAGCCATTGGGCTGGGCGCCCCCGATCAGGGCGCGGTCAAGGCCCCCTTGAGCCGTTGGGCTCAAGGGGAGAGAGATCTATCTAACAGTGATCACAACGAAAAGATGCAAATCTTAGCGTACATTACCACCGGTAGCAGCAACAGCGAGAACAGTTTCAAGTTCAAAAATTAATTGTATGAGATGCATATATACTACTTCATACAATAATTTTTTAAACTGATTTTTAGGTGCTCTTTAAAACTGATATTCAAAACCTTGATCAGAACCAAATGGCTCGTTAGAACATAATGCCCTATTTGAATGGGAGAGACTGATTTCACAGAAATATAAGTGCCTCCTATTCAAGCAGCCCCTAAGTCTATAGGGTGGGTGGGGAGAGGAGCAACGATGTTGGTTAGATGGCTTAATTGCTGTTCCCGGATTTTTTTTTTAAAAAAAAAGACACGTTGAACGAATACTCTCGACCTCCTTTTTCTACTGGAGTACTTTGAGTCACCAACATATAGATCCTTCTTACTTCCAAAATATAAACATTTTTAGAATAGTGTCAAGTTATTTTTTTTAACTTTAACTATTAGTAGAAAAAAGATCAATCATGTAAAATTGATGTTACTAAATTTATCATTAAACAAACTATCATAATATGCAACTCTTTTTTATTTAAAACATTATATATATATATATTATTGATCAAAATAGCATCTCGAAAACTGTGTCGAAGTTTAAAAATATTTATATTTTGGAACGAATAGAGTATGTATCCACATGTTAGTGATCCTAAAATCACTTGATTTAAATCAAAGGATCTCAGTCTAGGATAAATCAGGGTACCTACGTTTGCTACTAATCAAAGACCCACACAAGACACGTTCTCCCTCCGTTCCGAAAAAAATAAATCTAGTAATGGATGTATACGAATCTAAACATGAACAAAGGTATCTCCAGATTATAGTTATAGATATGTCACATCCAGTGCTAAATTGTTTTTTTATAGGACAGAGGGTGTAAGCATTGAGCATGCTATGTATATATTCCTACTCCTTTGGTCCCAATATAAATACACTTAATGCATAATATAAATGCACTTAGTATATGATGTGATATATTCTAATACACATACTCCCTCTATCCAAAAAAAAGGCAAACCCTGGATTTCCGTGTTCAACTTTGACTGTCCGTCTTATATGAAATTTTTTTATAATTCGTATTTTTATTGTTGTTAGATGATAAAATATGATTAATATTTTATGCGTAAGTTGTCTTTTTACTTTTTTTTATAATTTTTTCAAATAAGATGGACGGTCAAATGTTAGGCACGGAAATCAGGGTTTGTTTGTCTTTTTTTTTATGGAGGGAGTACTCTTTTCTCAAAGTAGTTGTACCTCCCAATATGATGATCTATGACCACGAGACATGACAACACCAACAATGACCCCGACCAAAAGCAACCTCAGTACGCTCTGCTCAGTGCTTGGGGTCCTAGCTGCTCCTATTTGGTGCGTGAAGCAATTCTCACTCTTTCTTCGTCTACTAGGAGAGGCGAAGTAGCCAACTAACCGCGGCGATGTCGGCGGTTGAGAGGAAGACGGCGTGCGTGACCGGCGGCAGCGGGTATATCGCTTCGGCGCTCATCAAGATGCTGCTGCAGAAGGGATACGCTGTCAAGACGACAGTCAGAAACCCCGGTGAGATTCTTCTTACTTCTCACCCCAACAATGGTCTGTAGATCGTCTTCAGTTCATTGATTTTGTGTGTATGCGGTGACGATAGATCCGGGCAGTAACAGCATGCTGTGTGCATAGAAGATTTTGCGGTGTTCTGTTTGGTAGAAGATAAATGCTGATGTTTGATTTGTTTCAAGTTGATATGACCGAAGAAAACTATTTCGGGAATTCACAAGAACACCATTGGTTTGGCCTCTGAAACTGCAGCGCATTGTGATTTTGAGTTCCAGATGATATGGAGAAGAACTCTCATTTCAAGGAGTTGCAAGCACTAGGCCCCTTGAAGATCTTCCGCGCCGACTTGGAAGAGGAAGGCAGTTTCGACGAGGCAGTTGCCGGCTGCGATTACGCCTTCCTCGTCGCCGCTCCGATGAACCTCAAGTCTCAGAATCCTGAGGTAAATGCATGCAGACACGTAGCACATCTCCCACCAAACTCAGTGCCATTGTGGGGCCAAGTGCCACTCGATGTTGTCCACTTGTCCTAGGTAGTAATTGCCACTTGTCAAGTCTCTGATCGCTGCCAGGCCACTGTTGATTAGATATCAATTATGTCACATTAATTACTATTCCTTCCTCCAAAATAAGTTTGTTTTTTACCTATCTCACACAAACCAATATTTACCTACAAGCCTATAATATACTCACTTTATTAAATCCCAATATAATTATTTCTATTTTTATTTATTCTCAATACATATATACTATCATATTTTCAAGAACTCTAATGTAATGATTAGTTAAAAATAAATTTATTTTGGGATAAATGGGAGAGGCTTATCATACTTTCACATGATGTAATGATTACTTTAAAAATAAATTTATTTTGGGATAAATAGAAAAGTCTAAAACTGAATTTATTATAGGACGGAAGGAATAATATTTCCTCCCATAAAAATCTTGTCTCTGAAATAATAATAATAATAATAATAATAATAATAATAATAATAATAATAATAATAATAATAATAATAATAATAATAAACAACTTTATTATGTACGTGTCCAATCCAATACTATGTTGTTTTATTTTGAAACGGGAGAGTACTTTTACTTGTATCGTCACGATTAATTTACTTGGTTTGTCTAGTAAATCCTCTCCATAATAACCAGCTGAAATAACGATCTAGAGTATTATTTGGTAATGGCAGAAAGAACTGTTGGAAGCCGGCGTCCAAGGCACTCTGAACGTTCTGAGGTCGTGCGTGAAAGCCGGCACGGTTAAGCGCGTGATCCTCACATCGTCGGCGGCCGCCGTCTCCGGCCAGCCGCTGCAAGGAGACGGCAACGGCAGCAGCCATGTCCTGGACGAGTCGTCCTGGTCCGACCTCGACTACCTCAGATCAACCAACGGGATATCTCCTGCTCAGGTACACACAAACTTACAAAATTTTACATGTTCAGTCAGAGTTGATAGTACAGTCGCTTGCGTGAGAGCACAGCGGTGGTGTTTGCGCTGCAGGCTTACGCGATCGCCAAGGTTCTCTCGGAGAAGGAAGCGAGCAAGCTGGCGGAGGAGAACGGCATCAGCTTAGTGGCGGTGTGCCCGGTCGCCACCGTCGGCGCGTCGCCGGCGCCGGTGGCCAACGAGAGCGTCGCCAACGTCCTCTCCTTGCTGTCCGGTGAGTACGTAAGCACCGGCAGTATTGTTTGGAGATCATGGATGGAAACTCTTTCCCTCCGCACGGAAAACGGAACAGTTCATTAACACATGATTAATTAAGTATTAGTTAACTTTTTTAAAAAAATAGATTAATTTAATTTTTTTAAGCAACTTTCATATAGAAAGTTGCTGCAAAAACATATTGTTTAGCAATTTGAAAAGCATGCGCGAGAAAAACGAGAGAGAAGATTGAGAACCCTCAGTAGCAAACACGACCTAAGTGTGCTAGAATAAACTCCTTCTTCCAAAAACCCAACCTAGTATTAGAATGTAATATAATTTAGTATAACGAGAGTTTTCATGGTATGGAGGGAGTATCTGGTTCGGACTCACGTGTCCGATTCGATTTCAGGCAACGAGGAGATCAACACCCTGAGAATGATTGACCAGTACTCCGGCGGGCTGAAGCTGGTTCACGTCGACGACCTCTGCCGCGCCGAGATATTCCTCGCCGAGAAAGCGTCGCCGTCGCCGTCGGGGAGGTACATCTGCTGCGCCCTCAACACCACCATGCGGCAGATCGCCCGTTCCCTGGCCGCCAAATACCCGCACCACAACGTTGACATCGATGCGTAAGACAAAATCATGAACTGGTCTCAAAGATTATGCGTGTCCACTGCGAGCTGACTCCGACGGTGGCGGCGGAACATGCAGACTCGGCGGCGGCCTCCCTGAGAAGCCGACGATCCTCCTCTCGTCGGAGAAGCTGACCAGTGAAGGGTTCGAGTTCATGTACAAGACGGTGGATGAGATGTACGATGATGCCTTCGTGGAGTACGGCATGGCACTCGGGATTCTGCACTACTGACGCCGACGACAATGCTGTTACTACCCAGCTTCGCAACCAAACGGCTCTTGCAAAAATAAGTATGTGTAAAACAGCAGTGAATTTGTTCCCATCCGCTTTTATGAAAAACGTGCCTATTGACACGTCAAACTGTTCAATAAAATTGTGCTCCTTTCAACATTTTCTCAATTTCTACCCCTCAATTTTCACATGCACAATTACCAAACGATTAAACAATATGTTTTTTACAAGATAAAAGTATAGAAAAGTTGTTTTAAAAAACCATATCAATTCATTTTTCAAGTTTTTCAGTTAAATAGTATTTAATTAATCATGCGCTAATCCGTCACTCCGTTTTATGTGTCGGGAGGAAAGGATTCACAACCCTCACTAAAGAACACAACCTAATTGTGGCTCTATGATTTTCTTTTTTGAAACAAGCAAGAGATCTGTCATTTCATTAAGTAGCAAAGAAAATATTCTGGTGGAACAACGAAGCCTCACAAGGTCTTTCAAGGTCCCCAGTTCAGCATCTGAAGATCAGGTCGTGTTAGGCCGTGTTTAGTTCCAAAATAATTCTTCAAACTTTCAACTTTTCCATCACATCAAAACTTTTCTACACACACAAACTTCTAATTTTTCCATCACATCATTTCAATTTCAACCAAACTTCTAATTTTGATGTGAACTAAACACAACCTTAGTGTGGGAAAGTTATTACAGAGATGCGAAGACAACTTCTTCCTCCTTTTCTAAATATTTGACGCCGTTTGATTTTTTTAAACATGTTTGATCATTCGTCTTATTCAAAAAAAATATGTAATTATTATTTTTTTTCTATCATTTAATTCATTGTTAAATATACTTTCATGTATAAATATAGTTTTACATATTTCACAAATTTCTTTGAATAAGATGAATGATCAAGTATGTGCTAAAAAGTCAATGGTGTAAACATAGGGAGTACTAATAACATGAACTAACTTGCTAGCTTTTTTTTTTATGCTAGCTCTCTCAGCTCAACTTTGCGGGCATCGCAGGAATTACTTTTTGGTATGATTAATCACACACACAAACGAGAAGTCCAATTCGCAGGCATGCAGCGTTGGGTTACTTTTCAATGGCGCGTGTGCTGTTCCTCTCTCGCTTTTGTTTGCATAGAGAAAGAAACGGATCCTATCATTTTCAACGATGTTAAATCGTCACAGGCTTCAGCGTCAGATGTACTACCTCTATCCTAAAAAAAAAAGTTCAATTCTAAGAATGAACCTGTACACACGTCATCTGGGAAGATAAGATGATCCTTTTTTCTTGGAGCAAAAGCTTTACCTTTTGAAAACACGATCGACCGCATTAAAAATGTGAAGCGTGAGATGTTCATCGATCGACATAATCGATCAGTGCAGGTCATTATCTAAGGAAGGAAAATCAATCAGAAGAGCAGGTATGGTGCATGCATCACGAAAAGCATTTCTTGTTCTGCCTCTCTGTCTGGCGACTGGCGTCGTCGCTTGTAAAATAGTGTTGGCTAAGTCAAATGTATTATGTTCCTGCTCTCCGGGATTTGTCCTGGCAAGTGCCACAACAGCGCAATCAGCAAAAGAAACCTCATCATCAGTGTGCTGCTCGGATTCTACCTGGGAGTAAACCCAAGTCACCTTCTCTGTCACAGGAGAGGTATTAACTGACCGGAGAGAGAGAGAGAGACGATGTCGTCGGAGGTTGAGAGGAAGACGGTGTGCGTCACCGGCGGCAACGGGTACGTTGCTTCATTGCTCGTCAAGATGCTCCTGGAGAAAGGATACGCTGTTCAGACAAGCGTCAGAGATCCCAGTGAGATTCTACTCCCTTTCTTTCTTGTTACATGTTTTTCCAGTGTTCAGTTTTAACTGAAAATCGAAGAACATGTCATCAGTTCATAATTTGTTTCAGAGGAGTATTTGCACGTTCAGTTTTGGGATTGATTGTGTCAGTACAATTTTGGTTTGGCCTCTGAAACTGCTTTTGTAACTCTGAATTTCAGATAACCCGGAGAAGGTCTCCCATTTCAAGGACATGGAAAAACTCGGCCCCCTGAAGGTCTTTCGCGCCAACTTGGAGGATGAAGGCAGCTTCGACGAGGCCGTCGCCGGCTGCCACTACGCCTTCCTCGTCGCCGCTCCGGTGTACGACAAGAGCCACAAGTCCGACGATCTCGAGGTGACCACTGCTGCAACCTGCAAGCTCGATTAGTATCTGTAGTCAGTTAGTTAGTTACTGAATTCTGAACTTGGCCATGGCAGAAAGAGATAGTCCAAGGCGGCGTCGAGGGCACACTGAACGTGATGAGGTCGTGCGCGAGAGCCGGCACGGTGAAGCGCGTGATCCTGACGTCGTCGACGGCCGCCGTCTCCAGCCTGCGGCCGCTGGAAGGCGCCGGCCATGTCCTCGACGAGTCGTCCTGGTCCGACATCGAGTACCTCAGATCCATGGAGAAGCTGTCGCCGACGCAGGTACACATATATACACACGAGCTGTTCCATGTCACTGAACCACAGCAATGTCTCGTAGAACATGAGTTCGGCGCCATTGTTGCTGCATGCACTGCAGGCGTACTCGATCTCCAAGGTTCTTTCGGAGAAGGAGGCGACCAAGTTCGCGGAGGAGAACGGTCTCAGCCTGGTGACCCTCTGCCCGGTCGTCGCCGTCGGAGCATCGCCGGCGGTGAGGGTCGATACCAGCGTCCCGGCCTGCCTCTCGTTGATAACCGGTGAGGAACTATCTAGCGATCACCGAATGAATGAAACAAGAAGCAATCCAAGAACTCGACTTCTGAACGTTTTTGGGTCGCTGCATCGATGATCTGTGAATTTTTTTTTTCAGGCGACGAGGAGATGATGAACATCCTCAAGGGCATCGAGAAGGCGTCCGGGTGGTCGATGCCGATGGTCCACATCGAGGACGTGTGCCGCGCCGAGATCTTCGTCGCCGAGGAGGAGTCGGCGTCGGGGAGGTACATCTGCGGCAGCCTCAACACCACGGTCACCGAGATCGCCGGCTTCCTGGCGGCCAAGTACCCCCAGTACAACGTCAGATGCGATTGGTAATTAAGAAATTAAGCTTTATGCATTCGTGCATTTGGTTATCTGAATCTGATCATGCGTTGCTATGTACGCAGCATCGAAGAGCATCACCCCGAGAAGCCGACCATCTCGCTCTCGTCGGCGAAGCTCATCGGCGAAGGGTTCGAGTTCAAGTACAAGAACCTGGACGAGATGTACGACGACCTCGTCGCGTACGGCAAGGCCCTGGGGTTGATCCCCAACTGATGGTGATGATGGGCGGCGTAATTCCACTGCTTTGGCGATTACGACCAAACGTGTGTTGCTTTCAAAAATACTATTGTGTCTAGCATTCTATTGCTACATTGCTAGTAGTACTAGTACCAAGTTCCAATACATTTGGCGGTTTGGCTGTACTTCGTTCTGTTCATGTAAGAGGAGGATTGAGAATTTGAGATCCTCTTAGGGGGTAAGCTGTCTAATTCTCCGGAAAGGATTAGCTGAAATCCTCTAATAGTTTTTGCAATACCAACGTACTTTCCCGGTTTCCCGGAGAACCGGTAAAAACTTCTGCCACAAAAAAAAGGTTGTGTTTAGTTTCTTGGCCAAATTTTTTTTAGTATACGGATATACATTTGAAGTATTAAACGTAGACTAATAACAAAACAAATTACAGATTCCACATATAAACTGCGAGACGAATTTATTAAGCCTAATGTGTCCATCATTAGTAAATATTTACTGTAGCATCACATTGTTAAATCATGGCGTAATTAGACTCAAAAAATTCGTCTCATAATTTACATGCAAACTGTGTAATTGGTTTTTTTCCACAAATAATACTCCATGCACGTGTCCAAACATTCGATGTGACCTTTTTAGCAAAAAAAAAAAATCTAAACACGGACTAAGCCACATGACTTTGAGTCACTAACATGTGGGCCCTCTTTACTATGGATCCATGTGAATCCGTAATGGGAATGTTGTGGTCTGGCACGCGTTGAAAAAAAAAAAACTCTCTGAACAGCGTTTCTACCTGCTGCGACACTGCTGCTGCTGTCAGGTGCAGCCGAGCAGGTTGAGAAGGCCAAGGCCACAAATCGATCGGTCAATTGCTCACGCTACACGACGGCATGCGGATGCGGGCAATGCGAGCATGCAAAAACCACAGACGTCACACGCTGCCTGGCTCTGTCACGTACTGGCCACCTCGTGTTTCACCTGGGCACGGTGGCCGGCCTGATCTTTTGTGCAGTGCGTGGACGAGATTTTTGAGCGCGACGGGCACGTAACCAGGCACCGGGGCGATGGATGCGCGGCAAGCCGGCAACGACAATATCCTTGGCATCAACCTCCGCCGGTCGTCAACGTGGGACTAGGGATGGCAATTGTGCCCGTTTGCCCGTTTACCCGCGGGTAAAAACCCTATTAGGGTTGGGTTTGTTCTCCATTTTATACCCATGGGTATCTTATTGGGTCAAAAGCTATGCCCGATGAGTAAATGGGCATGGGTATGGGTAATCACTACCCATGCCCGCTTTGCCCGTTTACCCACGAAATCTAACTTATATGTAGGCTAGGAGCAAAATCCACTAGAATACATAAGCCCAGTTCTTTGATTTCTTCGGTTTCCCTTTTATTTCCCTTATTATTTCTCTCCTCTTACTCTATCGCCGCCAGAGGAGAGACACGACACCGAGGTGGAGAATATTTGATGTTTTAAGTTCGATTCGAACTTAGTAGCTTGTAGACTTTTTGTTCCACTGCTTTTGTTGTGGCGGGTAAACGGGCACGCCCGCGGGCAATGGGCATAGGTAACCATCCTTACCCGTCATGTAGTAATGGGTATACCCACGAGCACAAATAATCTCACGGGCATGGGTATAGGTAGGCACTACCCGTGCCCGTCGCGCCCGATTGCCATCCCTACGTGGGACAAGGCGAACGGTGGAAATTAGTGCAGAGAAATCAGTCAACGGATCGCGCATGCGACCTCCCGCTCACTCCCGGCGCGTGGTCGCGCATTCCCGATCCCCTCCCTCGCGGGCTCGCGGCCCACCGCGGCCTGCTAGCTTTCTAGCGCGCGCGATGGGCTGCCCCTGCCTGCTCGGCATCAGCCCCAATTAGGAAAAAGTGGATTTTTTTTTATTTTTAATTTTTTTATTAAAAGTTTTACAAAAATAATTTTTCATTTTGAAAATTGACGGAAGTAGTCGCCTACCGCCCTCTGGGAGGGCGATTTTTAAAAATCGCCATCCCAGAGGGCGGCAAAAATGACGTGGCAGACGGCCGTTCGCTCTCGGGCGACGGCCGTCAACGAAATTTGTAGGCGGCCCCCTTGCCGCCCTCCGCTAGGGCGATTTTGTACTGTGCGGGGGGCCGCCTGCAAATGGGCGGCGAGGGGGCATGGAATTTTGCAGGCGGCCCCCTTGCCGCCCTGGGGGAGGGCGATTTTTGCCTCCCCCCTATAAAGCCCAGTCCCTCCTCTCTGAAATTTCATTATATTCACTAAAAATCCAAAAAAAACGAAAGAGAGAGAGGGGAGGGCAGCAGAAGGGGAGCGGCGAAGCCCTGCTGGTTCGCTCACTTCATCACAGGTATGCTCCCATACATCTTTTACATTTGTACTAATATGTTATGTTTGAGTATATATGTTGCGTTTTAGTTTTAGTTCCATATATTTTAGCAGATCTGTAGCACACAGCACATATGTGTAGATCCAGAGCATAGAATATAATAGTATGAATTGAGACATAGACAGTAGTGTTAATTGTAAGATGTAGTTTAGTTTGATCTGGAGAATGTAACCTACTTTTAGAATTTTGGAGAACAATATTGTAGAGAATGTAACTTAGGGCGTAGTACAGAAATGCGAGGTTAACGCAGTTATTGTTTTCATCAGGCACAATGTCAAATAAGGTCACATTTTAGATAGTTCACGGTGAAGGAAATATTAGATTTGGTCCAGATGGTGTTGATCTGTCAGATTTTGTAATGACATCTAAGGGCATCGATAGGCCTGCGGAGAGAACATTTCAGTCAATTTATAGTTGGTTGTTGAGAGGATTTAGAATAGACCAAGAAGTCTACACAATGTCAGTATCAGTTGTAGTGAGTCGTGCAACAGAAGGTTATTTTTGGGAACTAATGCCGATGGACAGCACTGCTGCTTGGAGACGGTATGTGGAAATGGCTTTTGAACGGTCATGGCCCCTCGTTATATTTGTGTCGGTACAAGAGAAAGATATAAATGTTTCAATGCAAACCGAAGATGTAGAGGGTCCTATCAATGCAGGGGATGTTGTTGGACCATCGATGCAAAATGAGGAAAATCAACCAAGGGAGGAGCAGGCCATGGGCATGGCGGATGAGGGGGAGAGAGTCGGTATAATTGTTGATGAAATGGAGAGGGAAGATTCGGATAATGAGGAAGCGGACGACGACGCATCATCCGATGAGGAAAGTGATGTAATGGCCACTGATTGGGCAAATGAGGACTTCTCTGGACTTGTTATATCAGAGGGTGATCATGTACCCTGGGAGTATAAGGAGAACGAGGTAATTGAGGGTGCAAGGTATGCTCATAAGGATGAGATGAAGGAGGCGGTGAAGCATTGGGCAGTTTCCTTGCAGAGAGAGTTTAGGGTGGTCAAGTCAACAAATTATGTGTATGAAGTGAGGTGCATGAAGGAAGATTGTCCGTGGCGTGTCCATGCATATAAGGGTAAATGGAATGATTATTGGAAAGTTAGCATTGTGACCGAGCACAAGTGCTACTTACAAGGGGTGGAGAAGTATCACCGAAACATCACTTCAGCTTTTTGTGGCAAGTGAGATGTACAGCAGTGTTGTTGGTAACATTGGCTTTGAACCAAAATCAATTATTAGGCACATCGAGAACAAATTCAAGTACACCATAAGCTATGCAAAGGCCTGGAGAGCCAAACAAAAGATTATTGAGATGAGGTATGGCACATTTGAAGCTTCTTATGATAATTTGCCTCGTTTGTTAGCCACCATTGCCCAGAGGAATAATAATACTTACTATGACCTACATACATTTACATCAGTTGATGATCGAACAAAGAGTGTGCTGCAAAGAGCCTTTTTCTCGTTGGGTGCTTGCATCAATGCTTTTGTGCATTGTCGACTTGTTCTATGCATAGATGGAACTTTTATGACAGGTAAATACCGAGGTCAGATATTGACAGCAATTGGGTGTGATGGGAACAACCAGGTTCTACCTATGGCTTTTGCATTTGTAGAGAGTGAGAACACTGAAAGCTGGTATTGGTTCCTAGAGAGAGTGCACATTGCAGTGGTGCGTATGAGGCCCAACGTTTGCCTTATACATGATCGTCATGCGGGTATGTTGCGGGCTATTGACTACTTGCAGAACGGTTGGGATGAGAAGGGACTTCCAGCTAAGTGGCCTGATGTTCGGAGTCGGTGGTGCATGCGTCACATGGGTGCAAATTTCTACAAGCAATTCAAGAACAAGCATCTTATGGAGCTCTTTAAGAGGCTCTGTGCACAGAACCAAGAGAAGAAATTTAATGAGTTGTGGGACAAGTTGGATGAGTTGACAACGAAGCAAACAGATGAGCAATCTCGCAGACCACAAGTTGAAGGTGACGAGCCTCCCATACCTCTTGGTGCATTACATGATGACCCACCAACAATGAGAAGGAGGTCAGGGTCGTCCATCAGAAATTTCACTCAGTGGATTGAGAATGAGCCTAAGGAGAAGTGGTCTCTATTGTTCGACACCGATGGATCTCGGTATGGCATAATGACAACCAATTTAGCAGAGGTGTACAACTGGGTAATGCGAGGAGTTCGGGTACTTCCATTGGTTGCTATTGTTGAATTCATCCTTCACGGCACGCAAGCGTACTTTAGGGATCGATACAAGAAAATTGGTCCGTCCATGGCCGATAACAACATAGTGTTTGGCAACGTAGTGACAAAGTACATGGAAGATAAAATCAAAAAGGCACGGAGACATAGAGTTGTTGCTCAAGGCACACAAGTGCATCGGTATGAAATAATGTGTGTTGATAGGAGCAGGCGTGGTATCTATCGCAAGCAAGCCGTGCAGGAATGTGTCTTGAAGGCGGATGGTGGATGTACCTGCAGTTGTATGAAGCCGAAGCTTCATCACCTTCCTTGCTCACACGTTCTTGCTGCTGCCGGTGATTGTGGCATATCTCCAATGTGTACGTCTCAAATTATTTCAGGAAAGAAGCAATCTTTCATACATGGAGTGAGGAGATATATGGGTTCGGGATCTCAGGATCTTACACAACGCTGAGTGCCCAAGTTTTTTATATTCCAGATCCATCTAAGTTAAGGGTGAAAAAGGGTCGACGCCAAACTAGACGCATCAGAAATGATATGGATGAGTCAGAAGCAGGTGGGAGGACTTTACGCTGCAGCAAGTGTGATCTGCGCGGCCATACTTACAAGAAATGCCCAAAGAATGCAGAAGTTCCAAGCGGCGCAGATGCTAGTCCATCTGGACAGGCAAGTGAGGGTAGGCGACCACCTGGTGAAGGAACAACAAGCAGGCGCGCAAGGCCAAGGCGTCGTCGCG